AATTTTCTGAAATGTTCTAGGTACATCCCCTACATTTACTACTAACCCTGTTTTTTTGTTCACTGAAAACCTTACACCACCAATCAATGGTAGAATTTGTTTTTAAAACTAACTCTGCAAGAAATTCTTTTAGCTACAATAGTTCCATTTAGCAGAGAAATATAAAACATTGACCCTTATAAATGGGTGACAGTTCAAACACAAGACATATTAGACAGGAGATTCAAACAGAATTATGCACAGATTGCTTTTAGCATTTATACACACACAAAAATCTGGTTAGCATAGAGCAATATATAAATGATCTCTGACAAAATATGAACATATACTGTTGATAAATCTATTTGTTCATTCCAAAACAATGACCAATGTAATATACTTAAGGCTTTGGATTCCTTTAATACATTTTCAAATGTTTCTTAGAATGACAAGGCAGTAGTCTCATCACAAAATAGTTTTCCCAACTACAAAAGGCCACATCAATAAGTCACTTCACTCATTCATGCCCAACATGACAGAGAAAACAATGTCACACAAATGAAGAGATCCACAGGTCATGGGCTAGCAGGGATAAAATAAAAAACTCAACAGGTGGCCTACCAAACCAAAGCTACATAAAAATTTAAAACAACTTACTCCTTAGATGTGCTAAACATGGTTTAAAAAGTAAATATTATGGCAGAGTTTACTAAAAGCTAAAAGTCTTTGGGGCTTAAAATAGAAACAATTCAAAACAAAAACACAATTGAAATGCTGTGAATGAGTTAAACTATGTATCAGAAGTCCTATGTCCCTATGTGGGACTCTGCTGCTAAAAACACCTGGAAATATTGCTATTTACCTTACCACTTTTCAAATAATTAAAACAAATTATAAAACAAAACATGTACTAAAATAATGCTTTGAAAATTACTGCCAGAAAACAAAAAAGATGGTTTAATTTTAAAGCTGTTTCTACTTATTTTCTTTTTAAAATACAGACGAGCATTTACACATATCTAGCTACCATCAGTGGCTTCAAGTTTGGTTTTAATTGAAAAGAACAGGATAATACCCCACTGTATACAACAATTAGGATGTTAAGTAAAAGAATATATATACCAATATTAGAGAACACAGGGTCAAATCTTTGTTAAATGCAAAAAAAAAAATTTAAAAAAAAAGATTGTAATTATTTTTCGAGTGCCAGCATTTAGGACATAGGACTTGTAAGGTTAACTGCATCCAAAAAATGCATCTGATCCTGCATGTAGATAAAAAGGTCTATAAAGTGTGACCCTCTAACATCTTCTGTGCTTCTATCACTCACACAGTTGGCTTGAGCAAGGCCTAGGAGAGTTCAAGCCAATCCATCACATATGCAAGGATACCAGAAGAAGTGTTGTATGGCACTTGAATGTATGCAAGGAGAAATGTTAGCATAGAGTGGGATAACAACAGGGAACAAATGCATTCACAGAAACCTCGACTAACGGGACAAGAAAGTGTAACAGTCACACTAATACTGGTCCATTTAGCTTCATCTTACTTATTCAATGTACTTGGCTTGACAAATTTTAGAAAACAAATGTAAATCAATCGGTTAGGTTCTAACAATTTTCATAAAGTCACTGGATGTATTTTAAAAATTTACTGCAAATGAGTCAAATTTTGATTGAGTTCACAAAATGGTTTAAAAAATTGCTCATTAAATGTACAATAGAAATATTGACTGAAACAACATTGGTCTTCTTTAACAACAGAATGTTTTCTACGTTTAAAGACTGCCAGCACATAGCAAGGAATGTCGTGAAGCACATCAAGGGAGCAACGCAGGCTAAATTCACTGGGAAAAAGGTGGGGAAAACACACTCACACTGGAAGACAAACTTAATGCAGTATTTTTTTGGTACCCCGATTTAACTAGCACTTTCACCTTGTCAGAGAAGGTCAACAACCACACAACAAGAAACAATGGTGGACAGACAACACAGAGTTTTTTCTACAACCCAGAGAAAAAAAACTTTGAAGTGCAGCATCGGAATGCAGAGATTGTAGTGGAATTGGTTGATAAATAAAATATTTGGGCAGATTTTTTTCCAAACCAGCCAAAAACACTGTCATGAAATCACAGCTGACGTGGTCTATGTTTGACTCGTTTGAGCAGTTGAGACAAGAAAAATAAAGAAAGATCTTTCAATCAATGTGTTCACAAGAGAGCAGAGTTTGAGATTACATAGTTATCACATGACAATGTACAAAGAGAGAAAAAAATCTAGGTCATGGTGACCACACATTGAACTTGCATATCTCCAAGTAAACATCATTCTTAAATAGTGTTATCTCCAATTTTTCTTCTCAATATGTTTAAAATATTTTGAGCAAATGACTTAGACAATGAAATTAGCACATGATTATTTCTTTATACAAATTTTTCCCCTTGAATGCAAACCTGGCAATAGTGTATAAGTTCTCTCCCCTGTGATTATAATAGCTGAGGTAACTCACAAGCTTACAGCAAGCTTTAACATGTCCTACAACAAGGATACTATTATGGTTTGTTTCTTTCAATTAGAAATATTCTGGTTTTTGCTTTGTTTAAAAAAAAAGTAAGAAAATATCACGTTTTTTTTTGTTTAAAAATATATTGGGTGGTGTGGTGTGTGTGTAAAACATGTCACATCCTCCTCCGTACAAACACTGCTCTGTGAGGCCTTTGATCAGTTAAGTATAAATAGATGGTATCACAAAAGTCTGATTAAGGATTTGCTGCTCAAAGCATGCAATATGCCGTTTGATTACAAATTTGATGCCGCGCTAATTTTACTGGGCACAACAAAAGGTGGCCATTGGTTAACATACATCAATACATCTTCTCTCCGTCATCTTTCTATTTACATTCAGTCATATTCAATCAGAAACAACTTCTTTCTTCTATTGTTTGACCCTAATGTTAGTGAAGATACCAAGTTTGGAGTTTTCGTTACTTTTTTAAAGTGCTTTTGATTGCTAGTTTTGTTCGTCATACCAAGTAAAATGTTTTCAAGTTTAAAGAGAACATACTAGTTATCCTCAGAAATACTGTACAAATAATTAACAGAGCATCAATTAAAATCTCTTTACATCAAGGCTTCACGTTTGATAAAACAAAAATAAATAACATACTAGGGAAAAAATGTTCAGAAAGTAATAATACAAAACAGCTACAAGTAAAAAACGAGAAAATTCCTTTCAACACAAAGCTTAGTTAAATTCAGCACTTGGCTAACAACAAGTACTTTGTTACTTAAGTAAAAAATAATCTTACCAAATCTAACAGATGACTTGATAAAACAACAGCAGCCAGTACACATTGGTTTCAATGTAATTTTCTTCTACAGAATTTATAGCATGTTTGGCTCAACAAATTATCCTACTGTCCCCTACAATAGAAAGAAACAAATGTACACCGTCCTAAAGGCTGAGACTAACTGGAAATGTTTATCCTAATGGCTTCACTGACCAGCAGTAACTAGTTAAAATTACTTGTCCACTAATTACAAGAGTGTATAACACAGCTTAGCATCTGCTTAACACATCAGATATGTACCAAGTGAAAATTTGTAAACTTGCTTGTTTTTCGATATGTGTTAATCATTTTCTTAGTAATCAAGTATACATTGGCGGTCAAACAATTTGGGAATGTACCTTTTAGGGATCACAACGTTAGGGAAATATTTTTCTTACCCCCAATTTAAATACGCTCTTTTTTTTACCTACATGTTACTTTAAAAAACTAAAAGGTATTTTCTAATTTGAAAAATGCAAGTTAACAAAGATAAGTAAACTATGAGCAAACATTTCAGGACAAATGAAAGAAAGTACATTTCTAGAGCGGGTGTCTTGATTAACAAAAACTTGGACCAAATGATGAGTGAAACAAAAGTCATGAGCCTTTACATATTTACACAGTGGCTAGAGTTGAGGCAAGAGTTCTAACCATTTATGGAAGCTGACCAAGGAATGCAGAAAGAAACAAAGAAAAAATGCATACATTATGAAAGTAAATAAAGGACAGTAAACATAAGTAACTATGTAGAATGCCTGTTTTAACTCTTGTTATTTCTGGAAGACCTGACACAATCCTGACTCCCTAATGCCATATTCAGAGAGCTACCACTTAGTATATAAATTAGATGCTCACTCAAACTCTACAATAATACAGATTTGCAGGAAAAAAATTCAACACATTTAAAATAATTTCAAACAACAATAATACATTTCATATTACCCAACTTAAGTGCTTTTTTCTTGGTTTTTCAAGTTTCAAAAACAAAAAATAAATATTTGCTTTAAAGTGTAATGCCTGTAAGTTACTTGAAAACTGAAGTTAAAAAAAAACAACCTTTCAATACTTGCTGGTGACACTCAAGTTTAAAAGGACCAAAACCAAGTAACATACAACAACATTAGGGAGCAATAAATTATGTGTTGACACAAATTTGTTCCATAATCTCACAACTTTTGAACCTAGTCACCACTTCATAAGATGCATACAAGAACTGAAATTAGGGGCACAAGGGGAGATAACAAAGAGCAGCAGAAAAAACTTGCCATTAATTAATTGAACAGAATAGTTATCTTCTAAGCAAAGTAGCTTGACAACCATTTAAAATGTGTATATTGTATAGTTATTTGTACCTAACATCTTTGTGCCTTCTCTAATTTGTAGAACTGACTTGTCAGATACCAGTGCACATGAATACTTTAATTCCTAGGTGTTGTGGATCATGTCCTTGAACAACACACAATAGACTAGAGTTGGATACAGGATTCTTTAGTAATAGCAGCATAACTTGACTGAAGGAGCAGCATAACTTGACTGAAGGAGCAGCATAAGTTGACTGAAAGCCATCAGTTGACTAAAGAGGCAGCATCAGTTGACTGAAGAGGCAGCATCAGTTGACTGAAAGCCATCAGTTGACTGAAAGCCATCAGTTGACTTAAGGAGTAGCATCAGTTGACTGAAAGGGCAGCATCAGTTAACTTAAGGAGCAGCATCAGTTGACTGCAGATGCAGCATCAGTTGACTGCAGGTACAGCATCAGTTGACTGCAGGTGCAGCATCAGTTGACTGCAGGAGCAGCATCAGTTGACTGCAGGAGCAGTGTCAGTTGACTGCAGGAGCAGCATCAGTTGACTGCAGGAGCAGCATCAGTTGACTGCAGGAGCAGCATCAGTTGACTGCAGGTGCATCATCAGTTGACTGCAGGTGCAGCATCAGTTGACTGCAGGTGCAGCATCAGTTGACTGCAGGTGCAGCATCAGTTGACTGCAGGAGCAGTGTCAGTTTGTCCTCTGTCACAAGTTGAGTAGGCGAAGAGCATGTTTCATGTATCTAACTATCACAGGTGGTTCTGAGTGAAAAGTTAACGTTCCACATGCGTTGTCCAGAAGTGTGAAAAATTCTAGAGAGGATGAACAGAACAGATCAAATTATAAATAAAACGCACAACCACTATTAGTTCACATATTAAAAGAAAAGATATGTAACTGACCACCTTAAGAATTTGTTTAAAGTTTTCCCATGCTAAACCTCTAATAATAGCCATGTTTCTAATAACAAAATAGATCTAGCTGTATTAAAAAAAATTGTTGTATAAATTATAAAGTTACAAAAAAATATTGAAAATAAACATTGAAATTTAAACTTTTGAATACTTCAGGAACAAAATTTGTTATGAATATTTTCATAGGTAAAATCAAATTCTTAAAGGAGAAATTCATGTCAGCATCTAGAATGGTCTGAGAGTAATGTGTACCTTCTAAACCCTTGGCCTCAGCATCTGCCTGGTCCCAGAGCTCCAGAGCCTTGACCATATGACTAGTAAGAGCAAAATATCTTTGAGTGACAGTGTGAACTCTCTGTTGAACACTGACCATCCCACTGGACGTTGGAGGAAGGGCTGTGCCATTTGGTATTTTACCTGACACCAACTCACAGCTACCCTGAGAACACAATGTTGCATGGGTTTTTTTTATATGTATATAAACAAATGTGTAATGTTTCCAAACATAAATCTTGTATATCATTATAACAAATCAAGTAAGTTTGTAGACTTGTACATAAATAAGAAAGAAAAAAAAACTTCACCAACAACAAAAACATGATCAGTGAGAGACATGTACAATTTTACAACAGTACTGAAATAATTTCATGTCTCCAGAAAAAAAAAATCTCACTTAGCACACAAGTGCATGGAAATAGCTACATGTAAAAATCATGGTCCTAGTAAACAATCTGTTTATTTATAAGCCCTAAGTGTCAAGTCTACCTATGAAACGTCATAAAACATGAAAACACTTGGATTTTTAAGTGACCATAATAACTAGATCCCATGGCTAAATGAACACTTGTAGTCAACAACAGTGGGAGGAGATAAAGATTTACCTGAGAACTAACACTGCCAGCAGGGGAGGGGGTGGGGGACATGGGGGATGGGGTTCCAGTACTGTTTTTGTTCTGGTGTGGAGAGGGGGCGAAGGGCTTTGATGTGGAGTTGGCTGTAGCAGGTGGGCAAGTCTGGAGCTGAAATGTAAACAAATAAGATTTGACAGGTAAGTAACAAGCCACTCCCCCCACAGATTAAGGTAGTTCAACACTAGGTCAAGAATATAAAGACTTTACCTTGCTTTGTTCTGACTCTATCACCTTCTTCAGCTTGCTCACTTCAGGCTTCCTCAGCCTGTACAGTCTATGATTCAGGTAGGCACGCAAGCGGATTCTGGAAATACAGGAAAAACTGACATTGGAATTTTTCCTGAATTTTTCCTGAAGTGTATACCAGTGTGTACCTTTGTTCAAATGATTACAACACAGACTAATCTAAGTACCTACTGACTTGCAGAGAAAACAAAGCACTTGTGACTTACATTAATACTATTAACTTTCTCTCCCTATCACTTGACTCAGGGTTGGAGCTGCTATTGGCTCTCAATCTGATCACATATCTGAAACAATCAATACATTTAATCAACTAATGGGATTAAATTAATAAAAAAAATAGAGCAGAGGGTAACAGAAAAATGGTATTGATTGCTGCAACAAATGTAATGTTTCATAGTTGTTCATTAAATAAAAATATCCATTTAACAAATGAATCAAAGAAATTGCACACAATTCAATTCACAGGTCTCTACTTTGAAATAGAGTGTACTGCTGGTACAGTGGCCAGTAGTGCAGGTACAGTGGCCAGAACTATGGTACAGTGTAATATACAGCTGGTACAGTGGCATGTAGTGCTGGTACAGTGGCCAGTACTGCTGGTACAGTTGCCAGTACTGCTAGTACAGTGGTCAGTACTGCTGGTACAGTGGCCAGTACTGCTAGTACAGTGGTCAGTACTGCTGGTACAGTGGCCAGTACTGCTGGTACAGTGGCCAGTACTGCTGGTACAGTGGCCAGTACTGCTAGTACAGTGGTCAGTACTGCTGGTACAGTGGCCAGTACTGCTAGTACAGTGGTCAGTACTGCTGGTACAGTGGCCAGTACTGCTGGTACAGTGGCCAGTACTGCTGGTACAGTGGCCAGTACTGCTGGTACAGTGGCCAGTACTGCTGGTACAGTAGCCGGTACTGCTGGTACAGTGGCCAGTACTGCTGGTACAGTGGCCAGTACTGCTGGTACAGTGGTCAGTACTATGGTACAGTGGCCAGTACTGCTGGTACAGTGGCCAGTACTGCTGGTACAGTGGCCAGTACTGCTGGTACAGTAGCTGGTACTGCTGGTACAGTGGCCAGTACTGCTGGTACAGTGGCCAGTACTGCTGGTACAGTGGCCAGTACTGCTGGTACAGTGGCCAGTACTGCTGGTACAGTGGCCAGTACTGCTGGTACAGTAGCCGGTACTGCTGGTACAGTGGCCAGTACTGCTGGTACAGTAGCCGGTACTGCTGGTACAGTAGCCAGTACTGCTGGTACAGTAGTCAGTACTGCTGGTACAGTAGTCAGTACTGCTGGTACAATGTAATATACTACTGGTACAGTAGCCAGTACTGCTGGTACAGTAGTCAGTACTGCTTGTACAGTGGCCTGTACTGCTGGTACAGTGGCCAGTACTGCTGGTACAGTGCCTGAACTGCTGACACAACAAACAGACAAAAAATGTGAATTGCCAAGGGATCTGAACAAATCTCATTTCTCTAATATACTCCCTGAGGCAGCTAGGAATATTAATGAATATGGATTTGTTTTATTGCCAGTCTCAGTGTGGAGTCAGAGAATCAACATATGGTTTCCTCTCTCATAGACATTTTTTCTCACTGTCTCTGTTTTTAATCAACCCATCTCAGGCTTAAATTTTAAGAATAAATCCTTCTGATATAGTACAGACTTAAACTCTCTCAGCCAGGAAAAAAGTACTGTTAACCCACTTCCCTGGTTCAAGTGCTCAGTGCAGTGCCATTAAGATTATTTAAAGATTGATGGCAGAAACACAGAGATAATCAATAATCAGCTACAATCAGTAATCTTTCCTTAGCCAATCCCCAAATGGGTAGATGTGAATCAGCTAGGAAAATGGGTGAGATTATGCAAAGGGACAGGGAATACAATTCTGGGCTTGCTGTATTTATGGCTGCTATAAATACCAACAATTCACGAGGAGGGTGGGGTGTGGGGCAGGGGCAGTGAGATAAAATGCTAACAAAAATTTCAATGAATATTTTTCAGTTTAAGATTAAAATAATAATAAATCCATTCAAGTGTTTGTTTTAAAGCATGTAGAAATGCCTCATGTTTTAGGTGACTGGATCATAACCACAGCAAGAAAAGTGAACTAAAATAGCAGCATATTTTGATTGACAGCTCTTAAGACACTTGACTGGTCATGCCACTTTAACGGTGGCGCAAGGAAGGGAAAGCAGCCAGTTAGCATCTGGAGTTGTTGTGCATGCATTCCATAGCGAGGTATGTACACGAGCGGCTCGTACTTTAACCCGGATTGTGTTGCTTGTGCTTGTTTATATGCCAAAACCCCGGGAGCTGTCACAGACTTGCTGTGTGGGATACACCGCTCATTACACACCAGCATAGGGGCCGATAGATAACGGGGGTTGGAACCTTTTGTTTCAGTACAATCCATTTTTTTAAACAACTCTAAACAACATGGGACAACGTAAACGATTCAAATATACGCCCACTGGCTTAACGCTAAAACTGGCTACCTCCGTTTGGTTTCAGACATGTGGCTACATACACATGAAACCAACCCGCACACCAAATGTTTTTAGGCGACGCAAATCTTAGTGCCAATCGGTGAATCTACAAAATAGTTCCAACGAGAAAAAAAAACTCCGGGTTTGTTTTTTTTTAAATATAAGAATCTATGTGATAAAAAAAACTTATACGGGAAAACGGGAGTACATTATAAAAAAAATAAACATGCATGACGTCATACTTCCCGCTCTGACCGATTTGTTAAGGTCATGAAAGTGAAGCAGCCGTGAATGGCGTGGTCCGTCGACACTACGAGCGAGTCTCCGGTAAAGGATTGAGATGCACGGTCCACCCCCTTTCCCACAGCTTCCATCAACAGTTATCATGCGCTACATTCGGCTGGGAGACAGACCGGACACGTGACCTAACGGATCATCTTAAGATGTCCAGTTCACGTACGCGACGGTCAGAGTGACACAGACGGAGTTGTGGGGGGGGGGGAATAAACCATAAATAGATTACATGGCGCTGGTATAAACTGTCGGGCAGTTACACGGCTATAAGGTGGGGGGGGGGGAGAGGGGTGGCTACAGGTGCTGGGCCGTGGTGCATTCACCACACACCTCTGCACCAGTGGAGGCGACCGTTTAGTGGACCATACGGTGGTCAGTTTGTCCAACAACTCGGCGCCACTGTGATGTAGTCAACAAAATACAGACTAGGCCCTAACAATGGCTGGGAGAATCTAGCCAATCAGAATCGTCCAGACAAACGTCAGCGGGAGATGCCAAAAGTGAAACCAAGTGGCTGGATGTTTTGTTTACATTGCCCATTTATACAAACGTTTCAGGGCGATATTACAAAATGACATGCTACTGGTACAAGGGGATCGTCTTCTATGTGTAAAAACTGGGTGGGAGGGTGTGGGATAGGAGGATACTAGACAAATAGCATAAAGAAGGCTAGAGGAGAGGTTTTTTTTTTTAAAAAAAACAGCAGGCTAGTAATCATTAGGTGTCCCGTCAAAAAGTTAGGGGCAGTAGCCCGGCCACAATTTAGTAAAACTTTTACTATAACTGAACTGGTATTTCTATACAAATGTTTGTTTTGAAACTACAGGCTGACATCATCATTATGTTTAGAGCAAAACAGCTTCACCTGCCGGTAGCTTAGTGTTAAAGACCTATAGTGTACTACAGGACTGTTCAAATAGCTCTTAGGGTGTGTACAAGTCAGTGTACCTTCCAGACATCTTTTCCAACGAAATGGAATTAGTCCACACCCCCCCCCCCCCACACATGAATCAGTGTCTGGTAGAGTGGAGTGTACAAGTATAAGAGCGTTCTGTAGAGTGGAGTGTGCATCAATCAGTGTCTTGTAGAGTGTGTACGTGTAAGTATCTTGCAGAGAGGTGTGCAGCATATGTTATTAACCACAAGAGTATCAGTGAGTTCCTCTAGCTGGTAAACAATCAATAAACACATCCACAGCAGTGATGCAAGTCATACCCTCCCCCCCTCTACACTCAAAAATACCACAAACATTGAATTACCTTGACCTTCTACAAAGGTCAATAGCTACACTTGCCTATAATGATTGTTATTACAAGCAGGCAGACATCTTGTTTCCACTAGCTCTGACAAAATACCAGCAGGGATACTTACTGCAATAAGTTGGATGTGTCATTGTACAGGCTATAACTGGCATTGAGGTCTCGTTTGGTCTGCTCCATGGAGAAGCCAGCCAGAAAAAAACTCAACCCAGATCTCAGGTAGGGTTCAAACCTGGCCATTTTGTCTTTCTATGGAACACAAACAAAGCAGCTTATTAGTGGTCGTGGTAATAGGAGGGGAGGGGGGGGGGGGCGTCGTGGTAATAGGAGGGGAGGGGGGGGGGCTGGGTGACACTGTCAACAAGAAATGACATGAAGAAAGCTGAGGAGGATTAAAATGGGGAGCAGATGGGAGAGGACATAAAGAGTATAGGGAGAGCTAAAATGAGGAATGTTTGAAATGGAGTGGGGGTGTAAGGGTATGAAAGGGTTGGAATGGCACATCATTATAACTCAAGATATCTATTGCAATATCCCCAGCCTTAAAACAACTCAGTCTATTGTCTTTTAGATAATCTGGATAGCTACATTTTGTTAAGTGTGAAACAACCTATGGAGACATAAGCCCAGCTATCATTCGACATGACTCATAGAACATAAAAATACATCTCCCGTGATCAGAACATTTAAAAAGTGATCTTTGGGGAGAAAAACATTTTTGTTAAATTATGATCCTATCCTAATCGAAATAATGAGGCAAATCAGGGTAATAAGGTATGCATGGATTCAGGTCTGCTAAATGTCTGGAGAATAGGCCATCTGGCAGGGGAAATAACTTACTAGGTTGTCTGCATGATGCTTGTGTTCTTTAGCCCTGGCCAAATAGTGTTCAGTGGTCTGTAACCTGAGGACATAGGTGTGGTTCTAGTCATTCCAAGTATTCTTAATTAAAGCCTAATTAACTAATTAATCTTGTTGATTACATTTTTATCAGAGGGGAAAATAGGATTATGTTTAATGAAGTTTATATTCAGTTTGCTCCTCTAGATCAGGGGTCTCCAAAGTTTTCAGTCCGAGGGCCGCATTAAGTATCAAATTTCAGTTCGGGGGCCAGTTTCTTCGAGGCATGTCTTTGATTTTTTTGGGCGAAGTTCCTCAGCCATCACCAACAAACGCTTTTTCCGTGGACAAAAAGATCTCAGCGGGCCGGATAAGAGGACCTCGCGGGCCGCATCCGGCCCGCGGGCCGTAGTTTGGAGACCCCTGCTCTAGATGAACTTACAAAGATTTAAAAATTGTTATGTAGCTTAAGGTATAACCCATAGTCAAAAGCAGGATCCATGCTGTTTAGATCAATTTACATCATTTAACTATTTATAATTAAAAACATTTTCAAAAGATTAAGTTTCACTAAAGATTACTTACTGAGTTTCAATAGGAGATGGTGGTGGTAAGTTAGTGGGGCGAGATGATGGTGCTGATCGACTGCTACTGTTGCCATTTACATAGTGATTGAACGGGAGGCTGCTACTCTCTGGCCCATTTGTCACTGGGGTACTGGTCTGGAATTTTATTAATATGGAAACTTAATTTTCAAACAATACAGCCCAAGTTGGTGAGATTCTTCCTTTCTTTTTTTCAAATAAATGTACCAAAATTCTTCAACTTTTTAAATGAGGGTTAAAATCCTTGCATGTACTTTTTGTTAATTTTATTTTAAAATGTCATTATTTTCCAAAGTGTGGTTAAACTACTTACTTTTTCAATGTTATTATTGTTATTGCTGTTTTTATTGCTGGAGTTTGATAATCTTCTGGTCTTTTTAGATGAAGAGGAGTTATGGCTACCCTTGCTGGAGGTACTATTAGTACTGTCTCTACGGTTCCTGACAGGTGTGGGCTGCTGGGGAACGCTCCCACTCTTGTCACTGTAAATATGACATCAATCATGATGTGTAACTAACTGGCATAGCTGGTATGTTTTAACAAAAAAAAAAATAGAAAGGGATCAGCTTGGTATAATGTTAAGGATTTAAAGGGATAGAAAGACTGTATTCACACATCTTTTAGGCAGATAAGCTTATAACTTTAATTATAGTCTAATGTATTTATGATGAATTCATTTCTTAGGCATAATTGTTTAAATCAGAATCTATGTGGAATTGTCTTAGACTGAGGAATCAAATGGCCCTGCCATGCAACTTGAGCCTCATTAAATAATGTATGTTGTTCAAGAGCTAGAATTGAATGAAACACAAGATAAGTTTTGTTGAATAGAATACAACTTCAGAAAACAAAGTTAAACATCATGACAGCACATTAATGAGCCACGGATGTTTTATACAGATTCACCTTAAAAAAAAAATAGATAAATTAAAAAAAAACAAAAATATACAGTGGTGTTCTGAAAATGTTGAGTAGATTACTGCAATAGCATAAGATTATTTTAAATGACCATTTAGATAAATCTGCCCAATATCTTAGAACATAAATCAACAATCTGGTTTATAATAACAGAATATGTGTACAGCAGCAGATACCATATGTTTTTACAGCAAAATTATTTTTTAATTAATTCAATCTTTTTTATAAAATAAGTGTACATTTTTTTTTAAATTAGAGCATCTAAACATATCAGGCATACAGAGAGGGGGGGGAACTGATAATTTCAAGATAGGATTCAGGTTGAAATATAGAAAATTGAGATGAAAATAAGACGTTTAGGAAATCTATACTTACTTGGACATATCTTTTATTTTCTTAGATACAGATTCATCATCACTATCCATTTTTCGTTTCAACACTTTAGATTTTTCCTTTCTTGAGGCATCAGTTGAGTTGGCATTATTTGCAATATCAGTAGCAGGCGTGGATTTGGAGAGCGACACATTAGAATCAGCCAGTTTATGATTGTGGGAAGACAATGCTGAATTATGGGACATATTGTCAAGTTTGGAACTGTCAGGTGGTATGGAAGATGAAAGTTCTGATGAAGACAATGCTTCCAAGCTGGAAGATTTGCTGGATTTAGGAATTTTGTAATTATGGTTTGACAGCGGAACACTGTCACCTCCACCAGTGTCAGATTTGCGTTTTGTGGTCTTGAATGCTGGGGAGGAGGTGGTGTGAGAAGCCCGCGGGTGAGCTGAAGAACTGCTGGCACCAGCGGCTTCGTTCTCTCTAATGCTGCTGTTTACACTAACACTTTTCACATCTGAAATGGGCGGCACTCGAGTTTCTTTCAAAACATCTGAACTCACTTCAGGTTTAGAAGAGAACTCTGTGGGTTTTGTGTCTGCCACAGTTTTTACATTCCGAAGTTTATCTTTCTTTTCCCTCAGCCTGCGTAGGTTCTTTTCAGTTAGAAATTTTTTTCGGATATGAACCATTATCCGTGGTTGACTAGTCCCATCTTCACTGCGGGACAGTGTGACAAAAGGTGGGTTGTTTGAGGCTGAGGTGTGCACTGGCGCAGGTGAAAAGGAGATCCGGAATGAAGGCAGTGGTTTGGAGGAATCAACAGGTGGAGGTGAGTAAGCATGGGGTAAAGGTGAAAGTAAATTAGGTGGTCGTGATATAGACTCCAGGTGATCAAGAGCGGCTGCACTTTCTGTTGGCAACTTCTTTTTGGATTTCCCAGAAGTTGGAGCAACTGCCTCGCAGCCTGACGAGGGAAAAGAAGATGCTATCACAGCAGGTTCTTCTTTCCTTTTGTCGTGCTTGATGAGATGACTTGGTGCATTTTTACCCCTGGAGACCAGGGCTTTGGGGTCAGGGTCATTACTGACAGAAGAGTCAGTGAACAGGGTTTTGGTCACCTCCTGTTTACCTTTGCTTGGTGGTTTGTCCGGACTGGGGGTCAGACGATGATGCTTAGGGTCAGGTGTAAAGCCTTCCACATCAATCTCATCCTCATCTGAACTAGATCCTGCCTTCACATGTCTCTTAGGAATGGAACCGTTAGCTGGCCTCTTTTTAACCTCCTTGCTGCTTGGTATAGAATCCAGCTGCTTTGGATCTTTATCACTATGTTTTTTTATTGAAAGCCCATTAAGTTCATTTTTGGATTCCAACAGTTTGCTACTGTCCTCTAAAATACTGTTCTTGCGCTCCTGCTGCTTCTGACTAGAAATGGAAGTACTAGACCTTCTCACAGATGTAACATCTTTCTTTGACACGCTTCCACTGCTCTTCCTCATGGTAATCTCATCATTTTCATCATCTGCGTGATCATCATCTAAATCATCATCAGAAGTTCTGCCAATGTCAAAAGACATTGTACTACACGGCCCAATCTCTTTTAAAGTTCGTTGACGAGTCTGTTCACTCTCCTCTTTGGGTGGAACAGAAGGTGGCGCTGAAGGACTGCTGTTGGAAGCTATGCTTTTACTGGCAGCACGAATAAACTGGCCAAGTCCCCAGTCACGGTTCTGGAAAATATTTTAACATTTGAAAATACAAAACCTGAATTCAATATAAGAGTTGTTTTTACACAGAATTAGGTTTCAAAATTAAATGATGTGTTCTTTAGTTAAACACTGATAAGTTTATCAACAGTAAAATGATGAAACTAATGAGGTGAAAATTTTAAGTGTAGGAACATGCAATAGAAAGCCAACCCACTTCTTGAACGACTGCGGTGGGAGTTCCCACAGAGGCAGGGCCAGGTCTGTAGGGGGGAGATGGTGGAGTCCTCTCTCCTCTCCCTGCAACAGTTTCCAGCCTTTCTTCTTTACCTTCCTCATCCTCACTGCCAGAGTCTGAACTAGAATCACTGCTACTGGAAGAACTAGATGACAACCTTCAAAAAGAAACAACAAAATGTTTTTTCAGTGTGAACAATGGTTTAGAAAAAACAATTTGTAATCACATATAAGAACACAACTTTCTTCAAATGCTTGTCCATACCTTCTTTCAGATGACTTTCTCTGGAGGGTTGCTTTCTCTTTGCTGTCATTACCCTCAGGGTCATCATCATCATCATCAGGTTCTGACTCGGAGCTGGAGCTAGAGCTGGAGCTACTGCTGCTACTGCTGGATGACATGGGGGACTGAACCCTGTAGGAGAGAGAGAGAGAGAACTTAAGACATGGGGGAATGAACCCTGTAGGAGAGAGAGAGAACTTAAGACATGGGGGAATGAACCCTGTAGGAGAGAGAGAGAACTTAAGACATGGGGGAATGAACCCTGTAGGAGAGAGAGAACTTAAGACAGACTGAACCCCAGAGGACAGAGAGAGAGAACTTAAGACAGACTGAACCCCAGAGGACAGAGAGAGAGAACTTAAGACAGACTGAACCCCAGAGGAGAGAGAGAGAGAACTTAAGACATAGACTGAACCCCAGAGGAGAGAGAGAAAGAACTTAAGACATAGACTGAACCCCAGAGGAGAGAGAGAGAGAACTTAAGACACAGACTGAACCCCAGAGGACAGAGAGAGAGAACTTAAGACATAGACTGAACCCCAGAGGAGAGAGAACTTAAGACACAGACTGAACCCCAGAGGACAGAGAGAGAGAACTTAGGACAGACTGAACCCCAGAGGAGAGAGAGAGAGAACTTAAGACATAGACTGAACCCCAGAGGAGAGAGAGAGAGAACTTAAGACAGACTGAACCCCAGAGGAGAGAGAGAGAGAACTTAAGACATAGACTGAACCCCAGAGGAGAGAGAGAGAGAACTTAAGACAGACTGAACCCCAGAGGAGAGAGAGAGATAAAAACTCAATGCAAAACTGCCATTACTGCACTTGTGTGACTTTACAGATACTTAGTTTAAAAAAGAAATGAAACTGAAAACCAACAGTTATTTTTCTTTACCATAGCTATGTATAAACACATTTCTTTACAAAATGTTCTTATAAATGCAACATACATTAACATTGTCTATCACAATAAAGTGTATAAAAAACTTTTTTAAAAATCAATTACTTGTTCATCAAATTGCTAGTTTTTTAGCCACCTGAGGTAATTAAAGAATAGACATTGATTTATTTATTTTTTTTGTATTAGAATCTTTTTAACAACAAAATTGAAAATGTTAATGTCATTATCTTCCAGCTTTTTATGAAGGGGGTTGAGTTTCAGCTGAGGTAGTTCATTATTTTAGTGACAAGAAGTATACGTCTGGAGTGGAGGTAGTATGGTAGAGATAGTGGAGGTGGTTTGGTAGAGATAGTGGAGGTAGTATGATAGAGATAGTGGAGGTGGTATGGTAGAGATAGTGGAGGTAGTATGATAGAGATAGTGGAGGTAGTATGGTAGAGATAGTGGAGGTAGTATGATAGAGATAATGGAGGTAGTATGATAGAGATAGTGGAGGTAGTATGATAGAGATAATGGAGGTAGTATGATAGAGATAGTGGAGGTAGTATGATAGAGATAGTGGAGGTAGTATGATAGAGATAGTGGAGGTAGTATGATAGAGATAGTGGAGGTAGTATGATAGAGATAGTGGAGGTAGTATGATAGAGATAGTGGAGGTGGTATGGTAGAGATAGTGGAGGTAGTATGATAGAGATAGTGGAGGTGGTATGGTAGAGATAGTGGAGGTAGTATGATAGAGATAGTGGAGGTAGTATGGTAGAGATAGTGGAGGTAGTATGATAGAGATAATGGAGGTAGTATGATAGAGATAGTGGAGGTAGTATGATAGAGATAATGGAGGTAGTATGGTAGAGATAATGGAGGTAGTATGGTAGAGATAGTGGAGGTAGTATGGTAGAGATAGTGGAGGTAGTATGGTAGAGATAGTGGAGGTAGTATGATAGAGATAGTGGAGGTAGTATGATAGAGATAGTGAAGAGGGAAACAGGGAGTAAACTATCTTCTGAGACATTCCACAGTTTAATAACGTGATGTAGTTACTTAATGTTAGTTAGAAACTAACTTGTAACCATGAAATGTTACAACTGTAACATTATCCACAGTCTATCAGGTTAAAAGGTGAGCTATCAGATAGCCAGACAATAAGAGGTGACCTATCAGATAGCCAGTGAGCCATCAAGGGGGAACAGGGACATAAGTCATGTTTTGCTATCTTATAAAGACAGGTAATCCTCTGACTGACAGGGTCAAAGGTTAACCATCAAGTAGTGAAGAGGGAACTATATGTGGATATTCTTCTAAATCATTCTATTAGGGGTCCACAACAACAAAGAATAAAACATAAGATTATAAAAGACTTTTCTATATGGTATGAGAGCTGCATTTAAATGTCTAAAATTGCCTAAAATTGCCTAATGAAGTGAGTTGGAATGAATAAGGGGGTAATTAGTATATCTAATCAGCCCACAGTGAATCACTAAACAATAGTTTCCTTGTGGCTTTAGTGTTCCCACTATTGAGATAACAATTGTCCTCGGTGTAATCTTGGTTCTACATTTAAAACTAGATCGCACTCGGCTAACCAAGATAAGGGCAGAGTGGGGAATAGACGCACAAAGAACGCAAATGTTTTTAAATGGAATTATTTTTTTTTCCAGCAACAGAACAGACGAGCTGAGACTAAAAATAATTGTTTGACGCATAATAAACACCAGTCCAAATAACAAAAACCTGTGCGTGTTAAAACCTTCATATTTTTAAACATCACGTGCAATTAAGCATGCTCAGTTTTTTTTTTCACCATCCAAATCCACCTTTCATTCATTTTTTTTTCTTTCAATAAAAATTAAAAAAAAAAAAACATCTGGACAATAAGATTGAGAAACAGGAAAACAGAACCACCGTAGCACCACCAGGGGGAAAAAATCGATTGAATGTGATTAATGGCCTCAAGTTGTGTGATGCATTAAGGCACGGCAAATCATGCGCTGGGGGAGGGAGGGGATGAGGCGCGTGGAATAAAGAGAAAAAAATTATTCGTCGGTCCTGATGAAATGACTGGTGTAAAATTTTAATATCACGCCCGATGGCCCCGGTTATTGTGTTTTTATCAAACCCCATCTACTATTTAGAATAACCTAATTGCATTCATTAATCAGTGTTCAAACTAGTCCCCCCTCCCCCTCCCTCCCTCACACGACGTGTCGCCCTCCAGTATTTGTATTAAACCGCCTCTGACAGTGGTAACTTCTAATAAAGGAATCACGTCCGGCTCTGGGCAAACATCGAGATACCGGGGTGGGAGCGAGGGCTAAATTCAGCTCCGTCAAGACAAGAGCAGGGGGGGGGGGGGGGTGGGGGTGGGTGTCGTGAGCAGATGCTGGGTGTTATGGGTAATAAACAGTGCTCCTACACGACACGACATTGGCTAATCGATGTCCTCACCGACAGGGAATGATAACAACAGTTGTAGTTACACAGTACAACATCAGCATTTCCTTGTACAGAAACATGTTGTTTGTACGTAATCCCTGTATTAAGCCACCCAAGGCACATGGAAATGTTCAAAAGAAAAAAACTAAGATATTTTTTATAATAAAGGTAATAGAACTAAAGGCCAAACCAATGTATGCGTGTGTGTTAACGAGATGAACAATTATCTGGAGTATGTGCAGTCACGTGCATGCACCGCGCCAACGTCAGCAGTTAATTAATCTTAGTAACCAATGAAAACAAAAACAAGGAAGTTGTCGGGCAGCTGTTTACCAGCCAAAGGAAAATATTTCATGACGGCTAATGGGAGTGAGAAAAAAAAAACTCATTAAAACATGACGGTCGGCCCCACATTTAAAAATAAAAATCTAAGACTATACTAGAGAGTGAAGACAGCGATGGTCAGAAGACCGAGAGGGGCGATCATCCAGTGGTTGGACGTGAACTGACAGATTTCTGACTGTAGATGACGTGTCAAGCCACACAGGAGATAGGGTAATGAGTGATATTTTTTTTACATGAGCCACACACACTAGCACAGCTGTTGTCTTCAAGTTAAAAAAAAAATGTAGTTCATTATTAAGGGAGGGCCGGCAGTCAGCTATTTTTAGCACATTTTTTCTTACAAAATCTTTTCTTACAAAATCAGTTCTGTTCATATTATTTTTTGTGGTTATTTTAATATCTAGTGAACGTGGGCATAGCAATATTATAATATTTTTTTACGAAAATCATGTGATAAGAGTTATACATTTTCACAATGTCACTAAAAATGGTTTTGTAATATATTAAAATTTTCACTTGTTATTTTTTTATTATTGTCATGAGTGAGTTTTGAGAAATTGAAAATTTACAGTATATATGACACTTGTTCACTTGTGACCGATTTCCGCTTAAAATAAATAAATGTGCCCTAACAAATATAGTTACAAAGCTTTGGTTATTTGAAAGTAAAAAAAAAAAATTATCATTCGTAAAAAAAGTAAGTCTTCACTAAGGGCTCCCCATCTCCCTCCATTATACTGGCTCACACATCTGCTGCTGTAGCTGGCATTGAGTTACATCCCCCAGATGGGGATCGACTGTTAATTAAACAAAAATATCCACGGTAGGCCTGTACCAAGTCTTGATATGTAAGGGTTAAGAATACTAGACTTAACTAGACCGTCTTGAGAAGCTAACTTTTTGAAACGTTCGGGAATTCCCTCTAGAATGTAAATAAAAGTAGGCACGAGTTAAGAGTTGACTATGTCAAGAAGACGAGTGGAACAGTTCAGCTCGCATGGAGCAGATGTAGCCTAGTTTCAGCACACTACCGGTAATAGCTGGGAGTGGTGGGGGGAGTGGGGTGGTTTACTGCCTGCGATTTGTCACGCTTTGCTGAATACAGCCTTTCAAAAACCTTTGCCATCCAGCAGGGTCTCACGGAATAAACGGCACACAATTCTTTTCAGCGGTAAACTTCATTAGGATAACGGTTATCGCTTTCAGCCTGCAACTAAGTGCGGGCATCGCTTCTTTGTTTTTCTTAACCCAAAACCTAAACCATTTTGTTAGCTTAATCCAATCCAATATGAACCGGCAGGCCGTGTACCGTACCGAAGCCGGAAAATTGATCTGATGTTGTATCCGTTATCTCTCCGGGTAATTTAACTAAAAGGTACTTAAGAATTCCATTAGTGTGACCTAGTTTCATCAACGTCGTTATCACAGCGCTATGTCATATGATCCGGCCACCCCAAACCTAATCAACAGCTCGTCATTTACACGGATTTATTATTCCCACAGCATACTAATTGGCGTAAACATCGGGGGAGGGGAAGAGACGTTAAAAATTGTGTATGAGCCAATTCAAATGTTATGAGCGACAACACGCGTCTGACGTCATACGGCCCACACCGTCATTTCTCCATTCCCTCCCCCGCATATGACGTCATGTGGGGCAGCCATAAATCTTCTAATTCTGGTTTCGCTAAAAGCTGTCTCCTACCACCACCCACCCCGCCGATATTTTTATGACGTCATGTGAGCTATTTCTAACCCTATATTACGGAATTTTAAATTAAATTTGCCGGATAAAAAACTAATTACTCTTTGAAGCTGTGTATTATTCAATTTCAGTCTTTTAATATCACATTTAATAATGTTTAATACCCTGTTTAATTTTACCTTTATACCCGAGGTCTACAAACAGTGTCTACACGTAGATGGTCTGTGCTGGGTATATGGGGACAATAGTTGACAAACTCGCGACTACAAGACATCATTTGCTGTCTAGTCTGGAAAATTTGGAAGTCCCACCCTCGGGGGTTTGAGCCCCTCAATCAGTAGAGGACGTGGCAGGAATGGACAATTTAAATTTATTCCTCACAAAACACGACCCTTACGACAACCCCACCCCACCCCCATTTTTTTTTCTCACTAGATAACAATTGAGTGGATTTACAGCAATCCAAAAGTGATTTCTCTTGGCGATAGGGAGAGCGGAGGGACATACGTACTGAAGGTCAAGCAAATCAATTTATAAGTACATCTTACCTACGTACCGTACATTGTGTATTTTTTTACCTCGACTAAAGGAGGATTGCATGGTCACCAATGTTTTAACTGAGTTGCCCAGTGAGAGGAAATTTACCCGGGAATGTCCCATAGACGGGCTTAACGGCTTGAGGTTTATAAAGCATGTCAATACCCACACTACCAATGACTGCAGGTTACCATGCTAACACCTTACATTAAAAGATAGGCAAAACAATGAGTCAAATAAAACATGGAAACAACAGGGTTGCATTGATAACCTTTTTCTACTCCCAGACAGAGGTTTTTAACTCGATGAACTTTGACCTTTAACACTAGCTAGCTGTGAAAAATAAACAAGTAGAAACTAAAGCCGGGGTGTCTAAACCTCATGAATGATAAATGGTTTGACTAAAAACGGCTTTCAGCGGTGATATATTTCACAATGAAAAAAAAAACTACTTTAATCAAGTTATAGAGACTATGCTAATAAGGCAAGCCTCAGAAAACTATGAGTAAGCACAGAAGGTCGGGAATACACGAATATTGACTAAATCTATGTCTATGAATTTCCTTAGAAAAAAGAAAACACCTAATATGCTTGTGGCTTTACACCAAGTAAATGGGCACATGTGAAATGAAAAGGGGCTGTTAACGTGACTATTTCAATCTGAAGTGGGGGTTGTAACGTGACTATTTCAATCTGAAGTGGGGGTTGTAACGTGACTATTTCAATATGAAGTGGGGGTTGTAACGTGACTGTTTCAACGTGAAGTGGGGGTTGTAACGTGAATGTTTCAACGTGAAGTGGGGGTTGTAACGTGAATCAAAACCAACAGTGTAGTTCAGTAGAGCTGTTAAGTAGCATAGGCGGGTTTCTAACCTCAGATCTATGTCATAGCCCCCCCCCCCCCCATGAAATCCCACGAGCGCTCGATTATGATGTGTTTACCTAACGCACACTCACGCCCCCACACGCACAACGGTACAGCAAAAATCTCCCCCTTCATGTATTCTAAACATTTCAATTGTCAGCGTTACACCACACACAAAAAAAAATCAAGCAGAAATCAATGAATTTGTGTAATCAATTCAAAGGAGCGTTCAAACGGAAGAGCAATGCATACCAAATGACAGACATCAGCAAGCGTCCTTACAGACTTGTAATGAAAAGAAAATCTGGCACAGTTGCTTCCAGACGGGCCACCTTAAGAGGGGGGATCAAATATGCTAATGCTGATAGAGCTAGGGACAGAGATTTCCAGAAAACCGGAAGAGAGATGGGCGGGGCAGGGGGGAAATACAGAGATGTAAATTACACTGTAGGGGGATTTACTTCTTACAGTTAACTCTGCTTTGTTATTATACGATTATTGGACAAACCGTGGCATGTTTATGTCATTACTCGTTTTAAAGATGGCCCACACGCCTTTAAAAGTCAGTTATAAAAATGTTTAGACTAGCTGGCGTTGTTTTTAAAGCAAATAAGATCGATGCCACGAAAGCTAATTAAAACCATGGCGGCATAACGGAATCACATCGATTTTCTTGGACTGTTTAGATAGTATGCGGCGCGTCAGATCTAGCAGTACTCAGCTGAGTACACGTTTCAAACAATCAGCCTACCCGAAAACTACCCGTCCAACGGCCCCGGCAAACCCGGCAGTAAGGAGATGCCATTCTGGAGCCATACAAAGCGCACTCGGACAGAGATCAATATCACTTCCGATTAGCTCGCTTTTTGTTTTCTATTTGTTTTATTAGTGGGAGATTCGCAATGAGACCCATGGTCGCACCGAATCTCTCACAAATCTCAACCCAGTGCTGCAGCTGGTACAAGAGAACAAAGACCAGGAAAACAAATGCATTTATTCAGATTTTAAACGTCCCTAAATTTACTACGGTAATATTGTCGAGCGCTTAATTTTGTAGGAAAGCATCGGGTCGGCCTCTGTCATGAAACTTGAACTTGTTCGACTCAGCACATGTATGCCCCACGAAGATTCATTATGTGAACCATCCTAGCTGTGTTATGTTGCGAATAAACAGCTCGGTGGGTACGTTTTTCGGTCAAATATTGACATACCACATTCTAACTTTTGTAGACTTTAGGAATTTCATCTCCATTCTCATAAGCCATCTCTAGTTTTGTCTTTAAATAACACATAAAAATGAAATGGAGAGGTTTATTTCTGTTTCATTTTACACGCATTAAGCTGCGTTTTTTAGCGTTTACATTTTCCTAGCCCAACCCACTATCCGTTGGAATGTTAACAAATTGGGAGGAAAGATAGGGTGGGTGGGTTATGTTGGCTTATTTATAGGGCTAGCAGCGTCTGGCTGTTGTGTAAACTACTCACGCCCAAGATTCTCTTTGTGCTGTGACAGCTTGTCTTATCGGTGTAGCTGGTCAACAACTCACGCTGTTAGAGGCAGCTAGGTGCCAGACAACACAGGTGAGAGACAAGGCTACAGGTTTTAATGGGGGGGGGGTCAACGCTGTAACTTCCTGTTTTATCCACGAGCTGTTAGTTTGGCTTCTGGTTTTAACAATGGGCTGTTAATGTGGCTCTGTGCTTTAACTATGGGCTGATACTGGGTGGCTCAGATTTTAACAATGAGTGGCTCACTGAGGCTCCAGGTTATAACCAAGTATTACTAGAGATGTGGCTGGGTTACAATGGTTAGAAGTTTCTTATAAGGAAACTTACCGTTTGACTGGTGCACCTGAAGAAGATTCAATAACTTTTCCTTTCTTTGACTGGCTGGCACTGGTGTTGTCCTCAGACTGGAATAGCAACAGTAAACATTGGTCAAGTATTGCTTACTTTATATTAACCAGTAAACATTGGTCAAGTATTGCTTACTTTATATTAACCAGTAAACATTGGTAAACTATTGCTTACTTTATATTAACCAGTAAACATTGGTCAAGTATTGCTTACTTTATATTAACCAATGCAGGCTAGACTACCTAGCTGTGTACAACTACAAAAGTGAACACAAGGAGGGGGGAGTGGTGTAAAATGTGTTATTGGGAACTGGCGACTGAAAAAATCTTTCTCAATAGGAATAAGGCCATATATTTATTTCAGCGAATATCATTATACTAATTTGATTTCATCAACAACTCTTTGATTCTCCACGCTCTCCTATCACCACCATCACGCCCCCCCCCCCACCACCATCACGCTCCCCTACCACAATGTCACCCCCTACCACCAGCATGATACCCCCTACCACCATCACGCCTTCCAACACCACCATGACGGCCCCACCACCACCATACTCTCCTAACACCATGACGCCCCCACGCTCCCCTACCACCACCATGACGCTTCTCCCCCCCCCCCTCCCCCCCCCCCCCCCCCCCCCACCACAAAGGGACATGTCCACCAAGTAGAAAGTTGTGCCTGCTAGTAGCTATGTAGTAAATTCCACCATAAGTCGTTGCTCAGACCATCGTGAATGTCATTGGCGTGAAAACTGTTAGAAGGTATTTTTGTTGAGTCAAATGTCAAAGGTCAGCGATTGTTTGCACACGTTTCTAGTCTTTGCAACGTCTAACAGATGGGTTGATGAATCTAACGGTGTTAGATTTAGTACAGGTACGTGACACAGATTACAGAATAGATTATTTGGTTAATCTAACGGTGTTAGATTTAGCACAGCTAACTGATAGATTATGGAATAGATGGGTTGGTTAATCTGTCAGTAAAGCTAGCTACACGATAAGCCGCTCATGTGAGAGATGCGGGTACGATGGGTCACAGCCACAACCGTGGAGTGTTTTCATCGCTAGCTTACTCGACATAGAAAATACATCCCAGCTAGATCTAGATGAGTGTTATAAGTTACGAACTTGTGAATTTTTTTATAATCAGTATTTGAACGTAGGTATGCATGCACTGTAGCCGGGCAGCACTAAACAGCGTGAGCCTGTTAGGCGCGGGCCAGAAATATTAAAAACACTGACATTGCTATCGATCCTCTAGGATAGCTAACGAAGATTACAGCCCGGTGTTTGCTCGGGTTAAAAGAGCTTTGGTCTGCTAAACTAAATCCAAGTTTCTCAAAGTACTGCCCATGACAGCTCTCTAGAACGTCATCGGGTGAGAGGGGAAATCATGGTATAATTGCTGGCATCAAGTGGACAGCGTCCAGAGGCTGAGCTTCTAACGAGGGTTGAAGTTTAATCTAATAATAATCACAGACCTCCAGGGTCTGGCCATAACCATAAAATACTCGTCTGTCTTTACTTACATACATAAATAGTATACTTTGTAGTAACAACGTTTCTGCGGGTACTTTGAATTGAGATGCGAGCTAAAACATTAAGCGACTGACGTTATTACGAGATGGGCCTCAAGTATGTGGTTGATATCGATTTACTACAGGGGAAGGTCTATGTGGGCGGGCCGTATAGGCAACAGCCACCATATGGAGCGGGCTCACTGTTTCAATACCAGACGTTACAAAGAACAAAAAGTTCAATAAAAAAAATCAGAAGAAATACGTTGTAGGTTTAGTTGTTATTAATTTTTTTGAATAGTCAAACTTCACTTTTTTAATACTAAACGCTACCGATAAAAGAATAGTAATTTAACAGCAATAGTAGCTGTGTATTAGGTCTAAACGTTACAAATGAAACAGATAATTCTAGTAATAGCACCAGTTGTATCGTTACTAGATCCAGTAACAAAAAGATAATTTAACAATGCCGGTGAATCAGAAAGATCAACACGAACGGTGTGGATTCTGACACCAGTGAAAATGTGTGATTGTGATAGAAGAGAGATATTTGATTCATTGGCGTAAGCAATAAATACAGAGGCTCAAAAGGTCGGCTCTCATTAATGTTATTTGATCTTGCAACCTCTTTCTTTGAAGGCTAGAACTCGACTGATTAGGGAAAGCCGTGTTCACACTTTAGTTGAAAATGTACTGATGTATTGAGGTATTTTGTACCACAATGTAAACCAACTGTAAGGTTGATGGAGGGGGGATGCTGTATACTAACAACATTACTGATACATTTTTTCCCATGTATTACATTTATCCCTCGATGACATGAAAGAATATTTTTTTACTTACCGTTGCTTCGGCATCGCTGTCCTCGCTTAGATCCAAATCCCTGATCAAAACAGAGCTGCTGAAGGAAAAAATACAGGTTCGTTATATGAGAAGCATTGATGGGCTGTTACAATATAAGGATTACAGCTTATGGCGTTTAAAAGGTTTTAAAGCAAGGATAAAAATACAACAAAATATTTTAACCCTTAAGTGGCTGAATTAACTAGACATTGGTTTGTTTATTTCTTTAAAAAAAAAAAGGCAATTTCGCTTATTCCTACATTTAAAAATAGGAAGTACAAATGCTTTTGATATTAAAGAGAACATCTTATTGTAATGGGTCTCTTTAAAAAAAAAAAAACGAGGTGTATTTAAGCAACTATGAGTCCTACATGTGACATTCCACCAGTAATTCGTTGGTTACGCTCTGAGTCTGATCTAGCCTTTATTTACATTCAACGGGAACATTTTCATTGAGTGCGCTATTTGTATCCTCGACTTGAACTAATCAGGCCGCCAAAATCAAACAAAAAGGCTATCCTTTTCATCTCCCACTTGACGTTACCACATCACAGGCCAGGGACAAGTGATACGGGGGCATCACGTGGTGCACGGAACAATGCAGCAGGTGTGGGAGCTGGGGTAGAACGACCTCACCGCACGTGCACACGTCTACCGGGTCGTGAGAGCATACTCCGGTAACGTCTGTCAACCAACATGCTCTTTGATCCTCCCGTAAACATCTAACACCCCAGCAGATGGAAGACTCCCACGGTTTTTAATGGCCTCGTTTGGACAAGATAGTCTCAAGACAGTAGCTTAACACAGTAAAGATACATTGGTCATTATCTAAATCAAACGACAGGTAACTTTTTCAACGAATCTAAACTTTTTCAAGCGACCTGTGATGTGAGGGGAGTGCTACGTGATGGCCGGTGTGTTGGCATAAAGACAAGACAAACACTTGCCCTGATAACTCGACACAGCTCTGCTGGAAGATCTTGAAATAAGTTAAATAGACAAAGGGCGTACATTTCACCTTTACCTCCCACCACAGGCCCCCTGTGTGACCAGGGAGCGTGTATCAAATTAAGTACGGTAATATAAGCCAAGGGAGGGCAGATCGATGGATTAATTATTGATTGACGGAGTGAACAAGTGTGACAGGCTTGGGGAATAGGATGTCTCTCCCCTGAATGTCAACATTGTTGCGTCTGCTAATATATCTCATTAAGTCAAGCACAGTCAAGCGAATACGTGAGAAAAATACGTCTTCCACAAAAAAATTATAGCTCGTGCTTCATCAACAGATAATCCAGTGCTACCCTAAAGACAAAAAATGATGAGCTTTCATCCGAGAATTTATTTAACAACCGTTGTATTACGTTTATTTTTCAGAAAAACGGTTGATAGCAGCTCATCAAAAATTAATAGATCATCTCGAAAATATCAGAAGCCATGAGGATATTTTAAGTGAAGTTTGTATCATTGAACAAATCAAAATGTACATTTGGCCAAGTGTATTATTATTTGAATCACTCGAGTTTGATGTAATAAATGATGATGTATGCGTGTTGGTGCTATGGATGTTAATTTCATAATTCAAATCGCTTTATAACAGGGTTAAACGTATGTGTTCTATCTGGACAAGTTACCAAAGCGGATTTTATGTTCATTTTTATTTAATTAAATACATAATAGGTATCAGAACTTACTTGTAAGTAAATGTTGGACAGGCAAATGTGTTGTGTGTGTAAGGTTTGAGGGAGGGGGAAATTAGAACAGTTCTATTCTAGCCTAGTTATAAAAGGTGTGTACTAGCATCTGAAATAAGTGAGTACTGTATAAAGACAAGAGGTGGGAAGATACTGTACCTTTATGTATTTAAGGATGTAAGGTTCAAAACCAAACGACAAGGAAGGAAGTTTAAAATTTTGAACAAAATATAACAGGACCTTGAGGGGGCCAGATCATATCCAAGAGCGGGATGGGGAGAATAAGAGGAGAGATCTCATCACTAATGTGGGGGTTCAGGGCAGAAAGCCTGGCATACAGGCAGGTTGTAGACCACAAATACCCGAGAGACCGTACCTGAAATACATGCTGTTGGGTGAAACATTGGAGGAGGCAGACGACAGGTTCCCATCTGTTTGACCACACATCATCTCGTCCAGAGTCGAGTTAGGTGTGTTGCCACCAAATCCCCCACCGCCATTGAGATGATGGTACAGATAGCTGCTCATGTCCTGCCGACCGTGCTAACTACGGTAAGCTTTTCGTCAGTGTAATCCACAGAAACAACAGTGGCCAGTAAGACGCTGATGGCATTATGTCCTTCTATCCGTTCATCTTTTGAGTCAATGTTTACATTCAAACACCACCAAACACTGTTTACCAAACAACGCCTTCAGCTTTTCTTAAGAAAGTACATCCACATTTTGCACCATATAAACACCCATCACGAATATCCCCGTGAACATACTGTACGTATAACACTAATGATGAATGTATTACAACTATGCCACAGAAATTCTAATCTAAGTTAAAAAAGAAATCGTATTAATTGATATCAAAGTAAAAGATTCCTGCTTCACAGTTGTACACAAAGCCTGAGTGACAAAATCTTTACAATTCAGCATAACAGCGAGGCTTTTGTTATTAAAATACGGATTTAAAACACCTGGACTTCCTGTTCACAAGCAAACATTAGATAGGAAAGCAACGCATGCTGGGTTATTTCAGACCTGGAAATGTTTATCAAACTACCCGAGGTAAAAAAAAATCAATAGCTTCTATTTCCGTCTAAGAAGAACTAGGCTAGTTCTAAGAAGGCTTGACTTTAAAGCCGCTAATCAGAGAATGTCACGGCTGACTTGCTAGATTTGTGGGTTGCTGGATCGGACAATTCGCGTTACGCAATTTCATCAAGGGAAGGTAAACACGACCAAGATACATATTCGCCTACACAAGTACACGCACAGAACGAGGGTTAAATGTAATTAAATGAGAGATTATTGGATTACACGCCATTAACGTTACCCATTCTATCATGCACCAAGACCACACAAAAACACGACTCAAGTTTGTTTCATTGAAACAAAACATGCATGAAAGGCTTATGAACCAGAAGTATGACTATTTGAATTTTCCCAAAGGGCAACGATCAATGACGGAAACGTAGCAGTGCTCGTGACTTCAGGAGCAGAAAAATCCAATTTATGACGCAATACTGTGGTACGGGAAATGCCAGTACTATTAGTCATGTGACACCTGCTTAAGCAAATAAGTTTCTCTTCTAGCATTTTCCTTGAACCATACGCCTTTCACTATATGTGTGTATATATATATATATATATATATATATATATATATATATATATATATATATATATATATATATATATATATATATATACACATGTATGTATGTGTGTGTGTAAAAATGTACATGAATTCGAAATACAAATGTAGCAGCAAGGATAATATAGAGCTCATTAAGTTAATGCTTTTAACAACATAAACAAGTGACGATTAGGGTCTGCCCGCTAATGAAAATCCCAGAAATAGCACCAGAAGGTAAACAACAGAACTAACAAATGTATTAAAACAATACCCCAATTTACACTAGGTTATTCTTGTGCACTTAAACCACTTGAGAATAAAAAACAGTCCATCAAGACCATAAATGGCAAATAAAAACAGAAGAACAGTAGGAAAACATATCAACAGTTCCATGGTGAAAACTCTCTGCGCGTGTTCCTTCTAGAAGGGATTTCATTTACGTCGCTGCTGCTTACAAAAAAAAAGACACTAGTCTATTCGGCGCATGAATACATAACGCAACGTCAGCTCAGCGCACGCTGGCACTGACGACCAATCCCAGAAGCAATTTACTCTCAGGGAAAACACGAGAGACCAAGATGGGGGACAATTAAAAATCCCGATACAAGGATAATTCTACATGAGCCGCTAGTACAAGACCCACGTCACTGCCGTATGCGCTGGCTTGCCATCAGGAAATCACTAGCGATACCTCCTTACAGCAGCTTGCATCCTACACCATCATGTTTATTAGATGCTTCGTATACAGCTTCAGGCTAAATAAGCCAACACTCTTTTTAAGCCGAGTTTCAGTGTAAGGAGTGGGAGTTATTCCTCTGGTACTATAGTAACATCAATTTGAAAGTCATTCAATAATTCTAAATTTAAATTCTATTTTTATCAGCACATTCTTCTCTAGTAGAAAACGATACAGCCACACGTGAATGTTGATGAAACGTTCATTGGTCAATCATTCATTAACAATACAATGAGTAGGCCTAAAACACGGAACACTGTCGTTACAAATTGTATGAGAAGTACATTTGCCCAACTAATCCAACATGCCGTTGAGGATTACACACCATGGCCGCAAACATTTTATTTTAAATTAAACTTGATAGACGCTGCTAGTGGTGAACAGGTGTACAGGTGAAAAAAAATAAGTTAATTATATCAGCAAGGAATGTTTTAAGGAATGCCTACACTTGCTCTGACTAAAGTTATCAACGTGCATCCAGACATCAAAATACTAAACCAATGAATATTATTTCACGCATTTAAAACTAATAATAATAGATTTGTGTATCAAATACCAGAAGGATAATCGTGAACCTCTATGGTTACACTTCACCTTGCCAAGTATTGTTATATATATATATATATATATATATATATATATATATATATATATATATCTTCTATTTTCTTTCCGTGCTAACACAACCAGTCACGGTTATGATATACGAAAACACAAAGAGTTAATATAGCTCTGCGAAAGGTTGTAGGTGAAAGTTCACCCAATGACATCAGCAACAGGAAATATTGCCTTCATCCAAACCGTATTCTTGCCTAGATACATTTATGGGAATCACGTCATGGACTATTTAAAACGCGGACAATAAAATAAAACCACAGCTGATCGAGATTGTATACTAAAATATAAATCTGCCATTGAAGTTGCAACAGTTGTGTTTATGCTCCACTGCATTCAACTGGACAGATGTGCGTTTGATGTACAGTGTGTGCATCAATATTGATCAGTATAATCATTGCTACGAATTATTACTAAACCATCTTTTGTTACGTGAAACTGAAGTGTAATGTACGTATGTCTATCAATGTGTGTGCATTCATATGTGTAACGAGTGTATATATATATATATATATATATATATATATATATATATATATATATATATATATATATATATATATATGCACCGGTAAAAAACTAGTTTCACATGTTTGAAAGTACCAATGGCCCTGAATGTTTAATTTGAAAGAGGTTTAAAGTGTGTCTAAAGGTTAAAGCTGGGCATATGTTAAAAGAAAAGCTAATGAACACAAAGTAGAACTATTCAAGTGACTGACGAATTCAGTACGTGTAAAGTGTGCTGGTAACAGCATTGTAAATTAATGCTACACTCCAGTGTTCTAATCCACGTTTGGCGTGCCAAAAGAAAGTGGCGCGTGAGTTATTAACGGAATAACTACTCCAGCATCAGATAACCGAATGAGAAAGGCAGTGTTTACAGCACAAAGACAGGTACCCGGTGATGTATGCCCCTAATGTCAGGTAACGATCATGCGGGTATAATTTAACGTAATGTCCAACTAAAAACTCACAACTAACTGAAACCATCACGTTATCCTTATGGCGAATAAATCAGTCTTAATTTAAACACAACAACACAATTTATGTGCAGCGGTGGCTGAGTTTCACGCACAAAAAAACGTCACATATGGTTTCAATCTAAGGAAATCTTTCTAGAAGCCTCGAAGCACAAAAACTGATAAAACATATGTAATTAAAGAACTACCCAGATGGCTGTCCGAAAACTAGGTGCACAATTAAGATAGAAATAATTTTTAAACCACTGGGACGAACGCTCAAAAGAACTGTGAAAACAGGAGCGAGGAAGAAAGAAACTGGACCACGGCCCAGTGGTGGTTGGGTTGTGGACGTAACAGCTGAGAGAGGAGGTGGATGCGAGGCGAGAGGTTCAGTCAGAAAACGTTCGTGTGTGTGTGTGTGTGTGTGTGTGTGTGTGTGCCATGCGACGATCCATAACGAAGCACGGAGGTGGGGGAAGGGAGGTTTGGGTGCAAAACGAATACAAAAAAAAAAAACGCAGTTTTACAGTAGTAACCTAATTTCCCCCACTTCCCTCCCCACGAACACATTTGCATGATGTTTTATTGCTTTCCCCTATCCTGTACCGAGAAACATTAACCGAGTGACAAGTAACTGCGGACTGTTATCCCTGTAGTGGTTTCATAAGCTGCTAGCAGTTGTTTGTTGTCTAATATCTCTCAGCAATATTATGTATACAACCTCTTGTAATAAACTAAACAATCAATCACAAGTTGTATAAGCTTATCACAATACATACGGAAGACTCTTTAATATTGCACTTCTTCAACTTACAAACTAGAAATAGTAAGCTGACTACATAAGATAAATGTTGAACTGATTAGTTGAGATAGGGTTAAGTATAGGTTTAATTAACAAGAAACAAAACAATGTGCCATATGTAATTAGGCACACATTTTAAATGGTGTAGTTGTGTAGGCGTTAGCAGGCTAAAATAAGTTCCATCAGGTTAATTGAGGTACAGAAATCATACAACACTAATAACAGACAGGGATAAGATCTGAAATAGCCATATTGTTGTATTGTTGGTATTAAACAGTTTTAATCCCAATGATGTATCGTTGTCAGATTATCCTTAGCTCACTACTTTACAAGTTATAATTAAAGATAATAAATCATCGCCGTGCGGTAGTTCACAACGCATATGGAGATATCCGCCGACCAAAATGTAGTTGACGGTATTCCATCTGGCCGTATGGTTGACACCATTTGAAACCCGATGCTCTTTCTGCCCCTAATTAAAGCTGGTCCGTGCGGCACGCAACACGCACCGTGTCCGCTGGTTAACGCTGCTTATGTAAATACAGGTAATGAGCCAGGGACACATTTTATCACTTTGAAACCGCGTGTATGACCCATGTCAAGGATGTGTACCTATACCAGTTCGGTTACCCTAGGGTTTACACAACAAGTGTGTAACATTTCTAAAAAAAGAATACTAGCTATTATCATTTAAAACATCCTCCATCTCTTCTTTTGATCATTTCGTTGTTTATATCTTAACATCGTAGTGCACTAAACTCCCTCCGTTCTATTACCCAAAGTAGTAATTACCTTTAATTAAAAGTTTATTTAATTAAAGCTGACTGTTAATTATTCATAACCCAACAAAAATATTTAAAGTACAACGCACTTAACGATTTTAATAAAATTATTAAGTAGGAGTAACTAAAACAACGTTTTTTTCAGTCGAATTTTTAAAATTGAACAACAACAAAAAAAAAAAAACCTCTCCCCGACATTCGATAAGGGTTGGTGTGGCTAAAAACGGCGCGTGGATTAACCTAGGAAGGAGAGGGGGCGGCGGCAAGCTGTAGGTGGTGGGCTAAGAGAGGAAATGACAATGTCCAACATCAGCGAGGTAACGCGAAGACGACAAATGGATTGTTCTCGTCAAAAAGCATGCACCCCTCCCCCGTTTAATCAATACTTGTAACATGTAGTGCGTGCTTAGACTACGCCGGTAGAGGGTGGGGCAGTCAAGTATGAGCGGCTAAAAATAACCCCGCAGGAGCAGATAATTCCTACCACTGGCTTTAGTTTGGATACAAGCTCATACATCACACTAAATGACCGAATTTTTCTAAGGTTGCAGTTATAAATGGTTTTAGCAGTGCTCTAATAATAAAAAATGAATTCTTACAATTCAATTGAAAATTCTTTTTTTTTTCATTTCAACAAATTATAACTTCAAATAATTTTTATTTTAAAATGCACAAAAAAAACTTTTTTTTTGTCAGTCCCTAATTACGGCAATAAAACTAGCGCACTTGAGATTTTTTTATGCGTCATTAAATATTTTAATTACAGCAATAAAGAAATTGACTGCAGGGCATTAATCCCTTTCAAAGACTCCCTTTCAAAGACTCCCTCTCAACAAAGAAGCTTGAAGAACAGAATAAAAGTGTACTCACTCAACAAACATAGATTTGCCTCCTCCACTCTTCTTTGCAACGGGGCGCGTGGGTTCAATGACAGCCGGCGCCCCATCTTCGGCATCATCCGTGTCTATTACATTGACCATGTCCACTTCCTCAGTCCTAGCGGGCAGCTTCTCATCCTTTACCGCCTCAAGCTTGACCGCCTCTCCTGCCGGGGTCACGCTGCTCAAGGCTTCTTTAATTCCTGGTACACAGACAGGGGGTGGGGTTAGTTATAAGAGTTAACCTTGTATGTACTTTATGTATACCGAATTCTGATAAAATTTAACTTAATTGAACACGTATGTAACCACAACAGTCCAATACAACAAACCCGGCTAACGGGTATGAACAGAGCTTCAACAACCTCACTGCTGACACTGTCAGCCAACACTCATCCATAACCCTCCCTCATCAGTGCCTCCAGCTTATAGATTCGGGAATTATTTTATTTTGGCCGTCCATAAATCACAATGACAGCTATCACAATTCTAATAATTTAGTTTCACCCAGCTTAAATTTAACGCATGCGGTTTTATATTGCTGGTAATGCATTGGGGAAAATCTGTCAAATGTGGATGGTAATTGTATTTTCTGAGTTGCTTCCCTTTATCTTCAAATCCTTCAGTTACAACTTCTGTATTTTATGGGTAGTTTTTTTTTTTTCATTGGTAGAAATATAACACTACTTTATCCTTCTTTTCATAAGTGGGAAAAACATTTTCTTGACTCTTTATAAACGAAAGTAGGTATCATCTCCCGTCACATTAGATAGGGTCATCTCGTACGAACACTGTCTTAAGTACATACTGAGAGTAAAACGTTTTACATAAATAGCCAACATTTGAAAGAGGATTCTATCCTGCTGTCACCCCGTGGAGGTCTGGAAACAATAGCTAACCGTCAGCGCCAGCAGGCTAGGTCAGACAGTCCCACTATCAATGAGATTAGCTCCACAGCTGCTGGAGTTACTATATGTTTCTTTTAATCTTTTTTTTTTTAAACTTAATTTTTTTTGTCTGACCGTTATTCATTTTGCTGAGCGAGCATACAGAAGTCTCAAATAACAACAGACAGACGTTCTAGTGTAAACAGAGAGGGTGGGTGGGACGGGGAGCAAGCAGACAGTGAGATCACGTACAGGCTGACTTCAGCTAGCTCGAATTTCAACTTCCCTATTAGACACAGACAGGTGGACAGACCAACACACAGACGGGGGGAAAAAGGGGAAAGTGCATCAATAAACGGCAATAGAGATCCACTGTAAACAACAGCAGTTGTACCGTAAGCCCGACCGGCTGTCAACATGTATTTCTATTTTAAGGTGACAAGTGGTAGGCTGCGCTCAACATTTAAATCCTCAAGTGGACTCCCGTCTTACTACTGCTATGTCACGGTCAAGTGGCCACGTTACTAGTCTAGCTGTACAAGTACTCAAGGACGGTGTGTTGTTCATGATGGTCTACATTATCGTTGAGCTACTATAGCCTGCACATTAATACTATGCACAAGTTACGTTGCCTGTACTTGTACAGAACAATTGCCTACACTTGTTATTAAAATGACAAAGCCCTCTTTAGCATAATTCATACATACTTTCTGGCAATCATAAAATCAAACAAACTAGTCTCTAAAGTATACGAAATTCTTACCTTTTTCATCTTCTGTTTTTACATCAGCCGGACATTTCTTTACCTCCTGGAATAAACGAGAAAAAAATTCACATGACTTTCCGTTTAACGGGAGGTTTAGGAACTATTTGAGAAAGACTGCAAAAATAATTTGCAATCAGTTTTAAATTTATGTATGTCGTCTCTGGGTATAAAGAAATTCCTATACCTTAAACTACTAACAATATCAGCATAATACTAGCCCTAAACCACTATCATTGATGTAATCACTCCAGCTTCAAATGGTTGTTTATTACGTGGAGCTAAAAATAACTCAGTTATAATTATATAGTGCTGAAGAAACAAGTAAAACAGCATAGATGCCACCTCGAACAATAGAACAATCACTACAACAAATAACATATATTCACTGGCTAAAACTGACCACAGTGGCCTAGCCACTCGCACCCTTCTGATTACAAAACTGAGAATATCAATCCATCCAATGCAATCAACATTACCTGACCCCCCCCCCCCCCCCCCCCCCCATGTAAAATATTTTGATTGACCCTCGTAAAGACGACGGACGGCACTCGGTCGCATCAACTTGATCTAAACGCAGGGCAGCATTACAGGGCGGATCAAGGCATCAAAAATCTATGCTGAAACCGCTCGTCAAGCAGGATAATTATGTACACGTCTCTGCCAGGTATCCGATGCCAGCCCCAGAGGCAACAATCCCAGCACAACTTTACAAGAGAACAATCATCACTCCCTATCAGTTTCGTTGCTCTCGTACAGGAATTCGATACGCCACAATGACATTTGAAAATAATTGAAAACAATCCAATTAGAAAAGAAATTAAAAGTATTATCCTCTCATTAGGTAATTGAATATTTTCTGACCCAGCCTACCACTAGAGTTTATAGCCAGCGTCAATACATTACTCTAGCGATAAAAGACGGACTCAGATATTCAAGGTAAAAAGCAGAAGCACAACTGTCAACGGTTTACAGATTCTTGTGCTGTGGTTTAGGATCACACGATCTCGCCACTAACTACCTATAAAACCCCACTAGTTGTGTTTTCGGGTTCACTTAGAATGTGATCCCTGTAAATACATCACAATTATATACCCAGCATTTTCAACTGGAGAGGCAAGCATTAACTACAGTGCGGCGGTGTCAAGTTGCTCGCACTGTAACCCCTCCACACGGCTAAACACGTGAGGTTCCTCGTGTTCATCTAGCTGATCATGGCTAAACTAAACGATTATGGTGCCGCAGACATTAAAAAAAGCATAATTATTAATCAACCGAACTTCTTATGATAAGATTGTATATACTTGAAGTCGAAATAAATTCGTGTAATCCAGTATAAGCTATAAACTAAGATAACAGTTATTCAAATGAGGTTATAATTAGCACATTTATTTAGACAGCCGTAAATCATTGAGAGGGGGAGATGAATTTAGACCTCGGTGATCAGCTGTTGCCATGACAACAAAGGCGACAGTGGCAGAAGGGATGTGTTTAATGCATGCAACATCACACTGCAGGCGTGTAGGACGCTTGTGTTCGGTACAACCTACAGGTTTTAGGACAACCTACAAGGTTTGTGATGGGGGGGGGGGGCAGAATCTATTGCAAGGTGTGAGTATTTGAGTACAAAATACAGTTTTCTGACGGGAGTCGTTTCATACACACTTGCAAGTTTCCATTAGGGCGTCTATTTACATGTCACGCGCCAGTGAATTAGAAAAAATTACACCCAGCCCACTGAACCGTAACGAACAGGTGTCGCCAGGTTAAATAACCGGATAGCGACATAGACAAAGACTAACGGCAAGCATGAAAGTGTAACCAACAGATCACGGTTGAATCTTCTACTTTTACATTTTGTTTTAAATTCATGTTATAGTTTTAGCATTAAATCTATGTCTATGTATTAAAATTAAGGAAAGACTGCAAATACTAGATAGATTACACATGCTACTATATCTAGTCCTATGTGCCAGACCACATCAGATTACGTAATACCAACAATGTTGTATTTCACAAACCGATATTTTAAAAACTGAATATAACCCGGCGTATGCAAATACAAGTAAAGTTCAAAACGATATTCCTGGGCTGAGCAGAGAAGTTAAAAGAATACAACGAGCATCTCTCATAGGTTGTTAAAACAAAGGTCAACTTGGGTTTGACATCAATAAAAACACGAGCCAGGCGTAAATATTGATTTGAGAATGAATTACTGGTGTGACTGACACGACACACGTATCAGAAACCTAGCCGAGAATTAGTACTGGTATTTACCCGGCGGCTGGGTAACTGCTGGGTCAGGGGACGTGTTTAACCTTAACTGTTCGTCTTTTAACAAGGATAAGATAACACAAACTTTAATCAAAAAGTCCAAACAATGTACTCAAGCTGTTTGTGAAACAAAAGATAAAATTAGGTTGATGTTATTACAAAGAGGACTCGTTACCGAAAAGGGACTTGTGGGTTTCTTTGGAAGTAACAGCAACAAGGCTGGTGTGGGTGTTGTGGTCAAGCTACAGTGACCCCTGCCCAGTCACACTCGAGGGTGACAGCAACAAGGTTGGTGTGGGTGTTGTGGTCAAAAGGTTGGTGTGGGTGTTGTGGTCAAGCTACAGTGTCCCCTGCCCAGTCACACTCGAGGGTGACAGCAACAAGGTTGGAGTGGGTGTTGTGGTCAAAAGGTTGGTGTGGGTGTTAAGGTCAAGTTAGTGTCCCCTGCCCAGTCAAACTAGGGAGTGACAGCAACAAGGCTGGTGTGGGTGTTGTGGTCAAAAGGTTGGTGTGGGTGTTGTGGTCAAGCTACAGTGTCCCCTGCCCAGTCACACTCGAGGGTGACAGCAAAAAGGTTGGTGTGGGTGTTGTGGTCAAAAGGTTGGTGTGGGTGTTGTGGTCAAGCTACAGTGTCCCCTGCCCAGTCACAGAGTGACAGCAACAAGATTGGTGTGGGTGTTGTGGTCAAAAGGTTGGTGTGGGTGTTGTGGTCAAACTACAATGTACCCTGTCCAGTCACACTCGAGGGTGACAGCAACAAGGTTGGAGTGGGTGTTGTGGTCAAAAGGTTGGTGTGGGTGTTAAGGTCAAGTTAGTGTCCCCTGCCCAGTCAAACTAGGGAGTGACAGCAACAAGGCTGGTGTGGGTGTTGTGGTCAAAAGGTTGGTGTGGGTGTTGTGGTCAAGCTACAGTGTCCCCTGCCCAGTCACACTCAGGAGTGACAGCAACAAGGTTGGTGTGGGTTGGTGTGGGTGTTGTGGTCAAGCTACAGTGTCCCCTGCCCAGTCACAGAGTGACAGCAACAAGATTGGTGTGGGTGTTGTGGTCAAAAGGTTGGTGTGGGTGTTGTGGTCAAGCTACAGTGTCCCCTGCCCAGTCACACTCAGGAGTGACAGCAACAAGGTTGGTGTGGGTTGGTGTGGGTGTTGTGGTCAAGCTACAGTGTCCCCTGCCCAGTCACAGAGTGACAGCAACAAGATTGGTGTGGGTGTTGTGGTCAAACTACAATGTCCCCTGTCCAGTCACACTCGAGGGTGACAGCAACAAGGTTGGTGTGGGTGTTGTGGTCAAGCTATTGTCCCCTGCACAGTCACACTCAGGAGTGACAGCAACAAGGTTGGTGTGGGTTGGTGTGGGTGTTGTGGTCAAGCTACAGTGTCCCCTGCCCAGTCACAGAGTGACAGCAACAAGATTGGTGTGGGTGTTGTGGTCAAAAGGTTGGTGTGGGTGTTAAGGTCAAGCTACATTGTCCCCTGTCCAGTCACACTCAGTGACAGCAACAAGGTTGGTGTGGGTGTTGTGGTCAAAAGGTTGGTGTGGGTGTTGGGGTCAAGCTATAGTGTCCCCTGTCCAGTCACACTCAGTGACAGCAACAAGGTTGGTGTGGGTGTTGTGGTCAAACTACAATGTCCCCTGCCCAGTCTATGAACCACACAAGTCGTGTGTTGTTGCTATTTCCCCAGCTGCTGTCGGATGCAAGAAATCTACACGATTACACTTCTACCCGCCGATGTTAATCGGATTCCGTGGTTTGCCCTTTCGTGCCTACAAAGGCTTTAAGAGGATCATCTGACACAATATGAACAAGGGAAAGCCATCAGCGTATTGTGATTAAACCACGCTAGTAACAATCCAATTGTGCAAAGATTGGTGTTCACATGATTGTGTTACCGGTCTGATACGATCAAGGACACACCGATGTCAGCGTACGGCAGACGTCTCGAGTACAACGTCCAACAGCACATATGGGTTGGGTGGGGGGGAGGGGTGATTTTAAACGTTTACGTTCATTTTAGAGAGACGATATTTAGCTCTTAAAATAAATAGAACTTTTATGATATGATATACAGTGGATCAATTTAAAATAAAAAGTTTTTTAATGCAAATCAAGCTAAGTACAAAAGGGTGTGTTGCTTAAATGCACGCCAGCGAGACATTGAAAGTGAGGCTAACTATAAACGAGAAACATTCAAACTTTTGTTTTTATAAGTTTGTTACGTCTAACAGGTTATACTACTAGAAATTATGTTGACATAAACAAATAATTAGTTAATGGAACTAATATGCTGGCAGTGATGTAAGAGATTCTGTGAGGGCAGCTCAGTCATGTATTGAGTTACGTCAAGGATATCAGTAGATAAACAACTGCTCTCGTGAACACAACAACAAGACTAGCTGCTACTCTGTTAAAAAATAAGCCTAACTACTAATCTGTTGAAAAAATGACAGGACAAAAGCTACTATGTTGAAAAAATGACAGGACAAACTGCTACTATGTTGAAAAAGTAACAAGACTAACTGGTACTATGTTGAAAAAATGACAGGACAAACTGCTACTCTGAGAAAAAAAACACCTCTATTAATCTGCCTAAATAGGTTAGCAATAAAACGATCTGATAGAGCAGTAACAACTGCAGGAAACAAACATATCCCAACTACGATAAGTAGAAAACCATTATTTTTCTATTATGCATCCTCTACAGCGCCAGAGAGAAAAATGGGTCGGCCCAGCACAACAGTTAACAAAAAATCATTTTACCACGATAACCTAAGGGAAGTAATGCATAGTTTTTGTGGAATACAGCTACACTGGTATCGAACGGTTAATACATAACGGGGGTATTTATTCCCTCAACAACCAATATGCTTAGTTTACCACACACAACAGAAAAATTCTTGCGATGCATTGAGGTGTTTTAAAAACAATGTACATAGATTTAACGCGACTAAAATAGATTAGCACAATCTGTAACAATCTAGGTAATTTATGAGTAAACTTCTATTACGAGACAGAATAAAAATTGTCATATATCAAAATTATAAATATGACCGTCTCATTAAGATGAGACGGTTATATTTATAATTAGGACTGTATAGATAGACCAGTTTTCCAGGAATAGGTTGTTTTTTTTTTCTAATAAGAATCCATGAGGAGAGAGTCAGAGAGTTATGCTAACACATATAGTCTTCAATCAGCTAGTAGAGTCTAGTAGTCGTTCAATACTTGTTTAAAGCAACATTTCCTAACATAGCTGTATCTGACAAGCCTGTGCCCGAGTGGTTAGAGAGTAAGTTCTATTTTAAAGTATTGCCATGTATTTGACTAGAAGATAAAGCCCAAGAATGCAGATCTGCGGCCCCAAACAGCTGTCAGTGGACCAGCAACTGTATCGACCTACACTCCTAACTATTGTACAGCTGAAAACGTCAATAGGACAACAACACGCTCCAGGTTAAACAGAGAAATCCGGAGATGCTGACACAAGCAGTGATCAACTGTTTGTATAACACGGCTGGCGTGCTGTAAGCTCAAGTGTGTAACGTGTTGTTTGAGTGCTACAAGGTCAAGTGTGTAACATGTTGCTAGCGTGTTCTAAGGCTATAGGTCGTGTGAAATGTGTAGCTAGCATTCTCTAAGGTCAAGTTTGTATCATTGGTAATCCTCCCCTAAGGTTACGTGTGTAGTGTTGCTAGCATGATCTTAGGTCATATGTAGTGTGGATAGAATTATTCTTAACCATGTGTAGTGTGGATAAAATTACTTTAGGCCATGTGTATGTGAAGAAATATTGATCTTAAAGTTATGTGTATGGGTGGCTAGCATGATCTAAGGCCATGTGTAATGTGGATAGCATTATTTTAGGCTATATGTATATGCAGATATAATCATCTTAAGTTACGTGTATGTTTGATTAGCAAAATTATATAAAATTATATCTCAGGACTTAGGTTGTAACCAAACTTTCTGTAACTGTAACCACATCATAGACCTACCGAATTGTGTCTGAACTAGAACTCCCAGACAAGATATAAGTGTTTAGAATCATTATTACTTCAATTTTAATGAAACAGTTATATTTTAAAAAGCACAATCAAATACTTATGTACTGTGACACCTGCAAAGCAGACGTACACCCATAACCCATTAAAGTAATAAGAAAAAGAGAGACAATTTTGTTGAGTACTTGTTGAGTACAAGAATAGGAGAGAAACTTACTTCTTGAATGTCCTCCAGCTTCCCTGCCATACTAAAGAGTTTGGGGAAAGGGAAGCCATCACTCAGTTTCTGGGGTGTTTCTATAGCAGTGTGGGGTGGCTGAAGCTCAGTCATTTCCTACCCAAGAGAATTGACATTTTTTTTCATAACACTATCCTTATATCAGTTTATTTGTACATTTATCTATAAGAATTAATGACTGTTAAAAAAAAGAATTAATCTCATATCTAATTGGATGCATCGATGTTTTTATTGTTTCCTAACAAAGATAAGAAGCTTATGTTCATGCACAGCTATGTTTAATTTAGTTTTATCTCAAACTAAAAATAAAACCTACCTTGAAGATATGATTAAGGTCACTTTTTGATATTTTACTCTGTAAAAGGTAATATGATTGTTAGAAGATATCAATATGTAAATAATCTTATACAGATGGACAGAAATCAATAAAATCTCACTATTAAAAACAAACAAAAAGAAAAAACAGCTTTAAATAACAAAATATAAATATGTTTGGATACTAAAAAATGGGTCAAGTGTGTAACAATGTAAGAGACTTAAATTAATGGCAGATAAAAAAATAACACTAACTTCGGGCTGCTTTTAATAACCAGAGCTTAAATTAAACAGTAGGGTGGGCAGTTAAATCAGACGTATAGAAGTTGGTGATAAAAGACCTTAAATAATCCTACCATAAATAGCTCCTTTACACTTAACTAGAAAGAGTTAATTTTAAATGTAAATAGAATGGATTTTATTGAATCAGAATCAGATCTTTTACTAGAGTAGTCTAGGTAATGGAGTAGAAGAAACTACTTTTTGTCATTTTTTAGAGGGGGGGGGGGTGTCCACTTACAGCTTTAATAGCATGCCTTAATGTTAGTACAATGACGACAAACTTTGAAAAGTTACCTCATCAGGCATGTGCAGTTTTAAAGACTTCTCACTAGATGGTGTGGCCTTGGGCTGGGAAGTTGCTGAGGCAGCTACCAAAGGTTTGGAATGCGGTGGTGTAATTACTCCATTAGGTAAACCAGAGCTAGGTTTTGGTGGCGTTGTTGGTCTTGGTGACAAGGACGTTATGTTAGTCTTACTAACAGAAGATGGTGACACTGTCTTGGTGATTAAAGGTGGTGACACCTGGGCCACGGCCTTGATCTGAGAACTTGGTGATGCCTGGATCACTGTCTTGTTTACTGAAGATGGTGACACAGTTTTGTTTACAGAAGGTGACACTAACGGGGACATGGAATGTTTCTGGGCAAAAGAAGAAGCAGCAGGAATAGGCTGAGATGGTGATTGCTTATCTTTGGCAGCAGAGGGTTGGGAACTACTTTCAACATGGCGGCTTGTGTGTTGGTCTCTGGTAGAGGGTGGCTTGTGTTTGACCAACTGAGACGCGGGCTGGGAGGATGAAGGTGGCATGACATCTTTCACTGGGGGCTTGTGTTTAGCTGAGGGTGGTGGGGTGGGTTCCTTCACAGGGTGATCCTTGCTACCACCATCCTTTGGTTTATGAGCTACAGGAATGTCTTTAGGGGAGAGATCAGGGCCTACAGGACTAGACAATAATGGTGTGACCATTTGTTGTGCTGGGTTTGTAGTCAACACTGCTTTGGGTTGCTTTGAAGCAGCACTAGAGAGCACAGGCTGGCTCTGAGGCAAGCTGGATGAGGACTGGCGTTTAGGTTCCACAGGAACTAATCCAGATGAATTATGTGTGGATTTGTTAGCTGATGAGGAGCTGGTAGACTGAGCAGGTGGTGGATGCTGACCCGTGTCCAGTGTGGGTTGTCTGGGCTGATGTTTACTAGCTGCAGCTTCAGAACCATCAACATCATCGCTAGCAACTTTATGTTTCTCTGTGCTTACAGGTTTTGGAACTGGGACAGCCTGTTTATACGGCCTGTTGCCATTTGTAGGGCCTACCAAGAGATTGAAATATGGTCCAAGAATAGTATGAACACTCTTTGAAACTGCATCACCTTCGTTTATTGGAATCTGGAAATATACAAGTAAATTTAGACATCAGAAAGGAGTTTCAAAATGTGTTTCTACTATAACAACTGTATTTTTATCAGCATACAGTAAAAAATGTAGCTAACCTGGAGCTAAAAATATAAACTAGGTCAAAGGATTGGTTAACAGACAGAATATAAAAATAAGACAAATGATTGTTGACAACCTAAGTACACAGGGTGTGCTGGCTATACAAATTAAGAAAGAGTTGATTACTTTATTAATTACAAGGAAACCAGCAAGGCCATAAAATGGTCTGGCAGGCTAGGGAACATGACATCTGTTCCAAGTGCAAGGACAAAGTGGGTAATGTGATGGTTCAGATATGGTGGCTTTGACAGCTTGTGGTGAACAGAAAAACAAACTGTCTAGGCCACTGTCCATGTAAGAATAAATACAGAAGACACTTTACAACACAAAGGATCCACACAGCCATTCTGATGTCACAGAAACAAAGTCGCTCTACTTTATCTGCTATATGGATCAGCTAGTCGAAAAAGGTACTTTCTCTTTTATTTTGCACCAGTAATTTAGCATAGATGTAAACAAAGGTACATAATTTTAAAGACGATCAAATAAACAGTTGATCACTATAAAACAACACTTGGATGCAAGTGGTCGATCATTCACGCATTTTAAATGAGTGATTCATTTCATTTACCATAGACATGAATATCCACACGTAACAGTAATGGTGAATGATAAAGTAAAAATGAATTGTTGAGAGTTCTAGCACCCGCAAGGTTAGGAAGTAGACGTCATTTATTTACAGTTTACTGCCTCCTAATAGACACCACCTGACAAGCCCCAATTCGTGAGCGCTAAGCCAGAGACCGAGTTTTTTTTTTTCAGGAGGTGAGTGGATGATACACGGCTCAGCGTTTAGCTCTACCTTTAAACATGGGAGATAAATGTTAGCTTACACGGCGATAGCACGCATGTCGACGACGTTTTGCTGATCCTCCGTGGCGCGTGCTGCTGGAGAAACGGGGAGTGGAGAAGAATAAAAGACGCCGTAATGTGTACAACGCAAAAAAAAAAAACACGCAACAACGGTTTGTTGGTACACACTCGAAAGCTGCTCACACTATGAGAGGCGCTGGGGTTTTAATGGGGGACAATAAACTGTGCGTTAACTAACTGCTGTTGCAATTCATTTCCAACCATCCTAAATACTGATGGATGATTTGAACCCAATAAATAAAAATAACACAGGCTTTAAAAATATACAGCTTAGACAATCACATTTTATTTTTGTAAACGAGTTTTGTCAATGAAAAAAAAAAACTTCGCGCGTAAAACCATGATAATGGTTTTAATTGAAAAATAAGAGAATGTTAATTAAGAAATAAGAATACAATTTGCAAACACGTGAGGTTGTGTGGCAAGAGAAGGATGGTTGCACAAGTGGGAAGTTGTGGATATGAATGTGGAAATAGGGTAATAGGAAATTGAAATACGACACACACATCGTAGGAGCAGGAAATAGCCTGTTTGAAAAGTCGGTAAGAAAAAAAAATTAAGATATGAATGTCGGCAAGGATCAAGTGCACGTCTGCTTTTAGCAAAAGGTGTATACCACAAACTTAAGCAGCATCAAATTATTCCGTGTTTATAGGGGAAAAATGACGTAAAAGATATTGAACAAAACAGACTATCAAAGATCAGTATCGTGTGCTGGGCCATGTTTGCTAGCAGAAAATGAACTCAGATACAAGAGTACCATCAAGGCTGTACTATCCAATTGTTGAAAGGAGCGAAACATGAATCACCGAGAGGGGGGACGACCCAGCTACCTGTACGGATGCTACCTGAGTTCAGGTGAGGCTATCAACCAGTGGTTAACCTGCACACGCCACGATGGCTATTTATTGCCTCAACACCGAAAGGCCAGTGTCACGTTCTAACAAAAACATTCCTCTTCTTAAATAAAAAAAAAAATTCCTAACCTATCAGAAAACAATAACTTCAGTACAACGAAAACAGAAGCTGCATACAAATTAACCTACACGTGCACGAATTTCCTACCTCGGGAATTTTATGTGTGTACTGTAATGACACATTACTAAACACGCGACATCCATGCAACTTTACACACAAAACAGTTGAGATTTTAAAATAATATTCCGATTCCTATCACATTTTAAGAAAAATCTGTATTGAAGGTCAGACTAAACAATGACAGACTGTAGCCACATGTCGGCACCACACAACTGATATATTTAAACACAACTTTCAGAATCATGCACCGACAAAAACCTTGAAGAGGAGACGTGTTTACTATACACAATCATACTGTTTACATTTTTAAACCGTACTGTAAGACTTTCTAATGTTGGTCTCTTGTTTTTTCTCATCTATTGCAATAGAAATTAACATCATCAGAAGCCGCCTAATAAGAACGTACGTTACAGTGAATAATGAAAGTTATGTTAAGCCAATTAGTGAACTTTTTAAATTACGTTTTTAACGCTGATCAATTAAAAAAACAACTGAACAAAAACCAATATGTAAAGTACGTTATGCAAATGAATGAAGGTGTATAGATTGTGCTTACTTAAGCAATCTGCGATAACTCTATCCCAGATGGAAACAGTGTGCTAACTACGAATACAACGCACCGCACGAGTAGCTAAACCAGGCGTTAAAAACTTGGGTGCATTAGCCTCGTTCTGATTGACGCTTTCATGGGAGCCTGACACGGTCTAACACATGAATGAACTGCTAATCACCGAAATAGCATGTGTAAGGGTCAGCAACGCACGGACAGGGGTCAACTGAAATGTCATATATTGACAATGTTGGGTTTAAATGTCGTATTATATGGCAAAATAGTACGCCATTGTACGAGGTCTAATCAATCACCAGCGACCATCGGTGTAACTTCATTTTTATCTGTAATACAATTTTAATGTTCTGCTTTAAAGGGCATACGCCTCAGTGAGTTCGACTGACAGTGGGAAACGATGACATACATAACTATAAATAGAATAGCTTTGTGGGAATTCCAGGAAAGAAAAAAATTCACATTACACAAGCTACATACAACCTAGGTCTAGGATAAATAAAGAGCACACTAGTGACAGATACCTGTACTGTTTGATAACCTGATCTACATTAAATATGTTTTTGGAATTAAAACTGTACTGATGGACATGTGCATTATTTAAAATGATAAATAAAATGCCTTTCTTCACTTTGACCAGCCCTAAACGTACATATACAATTAAATAGTTTACAGAAGAACACTTTGGAGAAGAGTAATACTTGCAAACCAATAGAGGATGTTGATGTGCATGGTACAGTATATAAAGATGGGTTTTGTAAATCTTATTCAGTTCTATGTAACAGCAGAGAAAATGTAGTTGGCAGGGGTTAGTTGCTAAGTTGTATTAATGGACTAAAATGAGAGGAAGTAAAGATAAATGCAACTGGCTTACAAGCTGTATTAGATGGACAGGGTTTTTGGGATATTTATTTATTGTTGGGCTAGGATGACAGGTAGCACATGTAAAAGTTACTGGGATATAAGCTAGAAAAAACAGGAAAGGGGAAGGGGGGGGGGGGGGGGGGGAGAGAAGCAAATTGATGGATGGAACATAAATGAACAGACAGAAAGAGGAATGTCACCACTGACAATTGAAGCTCAGTAAACACTATTTAAGTAAGCTACTCCTACTGCAAAACTATCACATCTTCATCTTGTATCATTCATGCCCAAGACACATGGGACAGATGAAAAGTTCAATGACATCAGCATAGAAGGGGATAGTGTGGTCAACACTATGCCCAGCCACCTTAGTTTACCTAATGTGAGCTGGGTGGACTCATGGACATCCTACAGACATGCGCCTGTGATCCGAGCTCGACACTTTTGGGTTAGCAGTTGTAATCACTACCATTCGACCACACCACCCCTCATACCTATCTTATAAAAACTATTTAAGAGACTGGCTCAGCAAACTATTGAAACTATGAACTTACATCAACTCTGCTAAATGAATTCTCCCCATGTGACACTTGAGGAGGTTCAGGTTCAACTAAGGGTCTTAACAGGTTGGCACGAGCTAGCCTAGCCTCTTCTCGCCTGCGTTCATCGGGTCTGAAATGTAAAAATATTTTAATAATTTACAAAATTTAAAATTAAGTGGTTATAATACCAATAAAAAATCAAACAACTTGGGAAAAACAAAAATTCAGAATTTTGCTCAACTCTCATTAGGATAGAATTACAAATATTTACAAATTAGATTACTAGACTAAGTATTTCCAAAATCAAACAAAAAAGAGTCCCACATAAACATGACTAAAACTTTGATACTAACAGCAGCCAAAAAGAAACAAATGCACCTAGGATTAATAAGCTCTAGATAGAAAACAACTTTAGTCTCCATTTTGAGCTGATGAACCAACAAAACGTACATTTAAAAAAACATTTTGGTGATTAGTGCATGTAAGTTGTAACACAATCTGTGTTAATCACAGTTTTAAAAGAAAGCTTGTCCTATACTTGTAAAATTGTACCAAAAGTATCTTATCTACAAACATTTGTTTTTATGAAAAGTGTTTTAATTTTTTGTCATGCACAAATTGTGTCAGGTCTAAGCACTAATATTTACAAATGTGCAACAACCTTTGATGCTGAATACCCTTTAAGAAGAAAGCTTTGGGTGTAATATTCCATGTACACAGATACTTTAACATAAAACATTTTAGTTAGATGAAACAAGCAGGCCAACCAATGCTTCTATATGTCAAGTTGAAATATTTTCACATGAAGCCCCTCTGCTGGGACGCCAGCTGTGAATAGTTTTTAATTTAAATCTGATACTCTCTAACATGTTGTATTAATCTAAACCACGAACAGCATGAACTTTAATTCTAAAGAACAACATAAAGTCTAATACAGGCTTAAACAATTGAGACATGCAGTTTAATTACACATGCTAAAGGCTTCCTACAGCCACAAATACATGTGCAGTTCAAGTATTAGCAATTTGTACTTTAATTTTGAAATGGCAAATTTTTTCAAACAATACATTTTAATAAATATTTAAATACTACACTTGAAAATATATTTTTCAATCTTAACCCTATAATCTAACCTGTGGAGATACTTAAGACAATAATTTTTGTTTTTTGAAGTAGCAAAATTTTGAACACCAAGAAAAACTAATTGAGGAATGATTTTAGTTTGAACACCTCAAGCTATAATTATAAACAGATTGCTGGTAAAAAAAAAAAAGGAGTCTAGCACAGCTGTTTCACCCTTTTTATATTTATGAGAATTAAATTAGTATCAAAGCTTATCAAATCAACTGATCTACCTATTGACTTTGATGAAATAGGAATCTAAACATATAGGATAAAATGTAACACCATCATTAATGATTTTTTTACAAATATTCTAGTGTTTGCAAATAAGTAAAGAACAAAAACTTTTAGCCATAACAATACATAACCCAAAGCACATGTTTTTACACATCTCAAAGCAATAAAGATTTGAGTTAAGGCAAAATTTCAGCTTCAGGTTTAGCGCAATTACAGCTTAATAAAGTTACTTATATTTGTATCCATCAACTATTAAAAAAGAGAATGGATATGGCATGGTCGAATTTGGACTTGTAACTGTAGCGTTCCCTGAGTTCATCCAGCTTTGATGGGTATCTGACATAGTGGGGAAAGTGAAGGCAGCTGGGCATAGTGCAAAGCACACCATCCCTTGATATGCCGAGGTCAAGAAACATGAACTCTACTTCATCTGCCCAATGGATTGCTAATGCTACATCTAAAGAAGGAAGGTCCCACTTTTCACAGTATCAAAGTATTGAGTATAAGTTTAAATTAATGATGTCTGACAACATACTCTTCAGAAAATACTTGTGTTGTTAGTAGCATTGTAATCTCAAGTTTCTTGTTGTGATCAGAAATTAGGGTGTAAGGCTTGTCTATGGTAGGGTTAGCATTGACATAACATATTATATTTGTATTTAGTGAACTACCAGTAATACAACACACTTTTTAAGAAGATTTTTGTGACATTATCTTACACTCATATAACACATACCCCATAGTATAACGTATGTATAGCAAAATATGCTATATGTCATTGTATCTGACATGTGTTCTTATAGAGTAATAAATTAGCCCTAAAGTAATTCTAACATCTGAGAATCTTCTTCTTCTTAATCCCATTAGCGCCCAAAACACATGGGGCAGATGAAGTAGAGTTTGAACCCAGATTTGAAATCGAGACTCTTGGGTTAGCAGTCTAGCTCTCTTCCGTTAGGCCACGAACATATGAGAATAGACTTTTTTTTTAATCACTAGATTCTAATTGGTGTAGTGCTGTTGGCATTAAAAGACATCATCTTTTCCCATTCAGACCCCAGACACATGTAGTAGAGCTCATCTCTTTCAATAACCTCCGCATTAAGTGGTATAGTGTGGTCAGCACTATGCCCAGCCAACTGTGTTTCCCCAATGTGAATCAGGTACCCATCAAAGGTGGGTGGACTCCGGGACTTCTTAAATCTCGGGATCCGAACTCGAGAATTTCAGGTCAACAGTTGAAAGCTATTAGCCTAATAGACTAATCGACAAGTACTATTATTCAGTTAATTCAAATATAAAATTTTATTCTAGACTAGATCTAGGAAAATGTTTTCGTTCTATGCCTAGCAATAAACTTCAGAGAATAAATTTAGATCTACACTATTTTATATAGAGTCTAGATTAGACCTAGCTCTGGCTGTGTCAAGAAGTCTAGATCTAATCAAGATCGAGAATAGAACTATTTGAAAGAATGTTTAGTTCACTTTTAAAATTAATAACTAGATTCTAATGAGGATTGAAAATTATAAGAGCAAATTAAATAAGTTAGAGCCGCTAGATACTACTAGGTAACTAGACTAGAACTAGATCTAGAACCGAGAATCTAGATCTAGTTCTAACAAAGTAACAATGATAATCATTCAATCATCAACATCAGTATCTGAGTATGCCTGAGAATGTCAAGGTGTTAGTAGATCTAGAAATAATCTAGTCTAGATCTAGATTCTAGAAGTAGAGGAGTAGAGGTAGAGGTGTTTTTATTCATTATCATAACTTTTAACAATGAACTTGAATGAACCATTCGATTAAATTCTATAATTAAGAATAGAGTCACAGAGATTTTAGATCTAGACAAGATCTAACTAATGTAAAATAAGTTTGAAATTGAAACAAAATTCTGAAACTTAGTCAACTGGATGACAGCTGCCATCGATCGGGATACAAGAAACTAAACTTCCAGTGTAGACTAGACTTTCTAGCTTTACTCTTAAATTAAAAGATTGATAAAAACTTACCTGTTTTCCATTGGCATCTTATATTTAACTAATATCAACTAATGGTGATAAATGATGAGACACTACATGTGCAGCTCCATTTTGAAAACAATAAGATCAACAAATCCGATTGATTGCAGTTACGACTACGTGAGTATCTTCTTGTATAAATCTGGTTTTAGGCTACATGTTGATAGTTTGTTAGATGATACTCAGGCAACACTAAACGTTCTGTCAAATTGTACTAACTAGTACAAATGCTGAATAACAATCAGTAAAATCCATTCCATTAACAAAATCAGTTCAAATGATTATACACAAACTTAAAAATGAAAGGATAAATCATAGCTATATTTGCTTTGCACACATCCTCCATGTAAGACCATGGTGGGTATTTACAAGTCTTAAAAAATTACTACGCACCACAGCACAAAATATATATTTTGCATCATGGTCGTTACATTAATAATAATATTTAAAATGTACTAATAATGATATATCTTTATATTATCCAAGTTAAGAACACAATCCAAATGTTTTACGATGTGCTGCTCATAAAATCCACATAATAAATGAAACTAGTTTCTTCCGCGACTTGAGCGTGATGAGACTGTGACGTCAGAATGTAGGTCATGTGACCCCCAAGAGCTTTAACAAATTATATCTTGGTACTTTCGATTTCACGTTCTGATTTTTAGTAGTGCTTGCGAAAAATTAATGTGCGCGGTTAAGTCTTTGATCTAGATTTAGAACTATTCTAAAATGAAAATTATTCTATTCAAACTTGTTTTAAAGCGGAATGATTTTTTTTTTACTTTTTAAAAATTTATTGATGTTTCATTAAATCACGAAGTCTCTAGGCTAAATTAATTGACTCTCAAATAATGAGAAAAATAAAATACCAACCAACATAGATCTACATCCTAATTTTAAATCTAAATCTGTATAAATTGTAATAAGTATTTTATATTATTTGGAAATATTTTGGTATAATGTGGGTTTAATAATTTAGGTATCGACCAAAAAATAAATATTCGATTGCTGCTTAGTGACACACTTATAAACAGAGTTTCTTCCAGGCATCTCATCGGGGGGAGGGGGGGGGGGCACTGCCGCCCCCTCCCCCTTCCCGAACGAAATTGAATTTATATAGAAAATATATACTTTTGATAGTGTCTCCCCCCCCCCCCCTAACGAAATGGAATTTATATAGAAAATATATAATTTTGACAGTGCCCCCCCCCCCCCCGGAGAAAAAAAGTCTGGAAGAAACACTGCTTTTAAATACAAATGTGAAGGAAAATCCTTTGGTTTTGTTTGTAGATCTACCCAACGGAGTAAGTGTTTCTTCCAGACTTTTCTCCGGGGGTGGGGGGGGGCAGAGGCGTAGCGACCCTTCCCGGCGCCCGGGGACAAACTTTCAATTTAGCGCCCCCTCGGGAGCAAATTTTCAATTTTCACCCCCCCCCCCCTCATACTTTCGATTTGTACCCCCCTCAAACTTTCGATTTGCACCCCCCCCCCCCTCAAATTGCAAAAATGTAGCTAAAATGACATTTTAATTTGTTTTTACAACCCATTTTGGCGCCCCCTACGGTCGGCGCCCGGGGACATATGTACACCCCTGCCCCCCCCCCCCCCCCCATCGCTACGCCTCAGGCTGGAGGGGGGGGGCTTAATAGTAACGTAGTTTATATATACTCTTTTAATAAGATGTAGCAATGTTTTCTCTTTAGTTAGCACGTAATTTTCCCGTGGTATAAATTCAAAGGTAATACAAATTACAGCACAATGGTCGCAATATATTGTTCATTTGGGTAGTTACATAATGTAGGCTCTACAGTCTGCATGTTGGTATTTAATCTGATAATTTAAAGTGAAGCATGGTCCATGTAATCAAATAGGCCCCACATATTTCAATAAAAGGATGAAATCAGAAAAGAAATTAAAACAAAAATAACAGCGAAAGTTGAAAATAATTATTACAACTAGACCATATTTCATGCGTCTATAACTTGTAATCGGCGGGTGGGCTACAACTATATCATATGTCTCCATATAACACAGTTAAAGATGGGTAGTCTATATCAAAAGATTCAGAAACTGATGAGCAATTAGGCACGAAATTTAAATAAATAAATAAATAAATAAATAAATAAATAAATATATATATATATATATATATATATATATATATATATATATATATATATATATATATATATATATATATATATATATATATATATATATATATATATATATATATGGAGGCGGAGAGTGGTGATTCATAGATCAATTTTTAAAATCCCTTTAAATTTCTTTCTATTTTCTTTACTTTCTCAGTCATTACCATATGTGTTCGGGCGCTGCCTAATTTGTTGTGTGGCAGATGCGTAGCGACCCTTCCCGGCGCCCGGGGACAAACTTTCAATTTGCACCCCCCCCCCCTCAAACTTTCGATTTGCACCTCCCCCCCCCCCCTCAACTTTTCGATTTCCACCCCCCCCCCCCCATCAAACTTCCGATTTGCACTCCCCCCTCAAACTGCAAAAATGCAGCTAAAATTTTAATTTGTTTTTACAACCCACTTTGGCGCCCCCTAAGGTCGGCGACCGGGGACATATGTCCCCCCCCTTCCCACCCCCCATCGTTACGCCTCTGTTGTGTGGATCTTATGAAATGCGCCGACACCTTTCTTTGTTAGTCAATATCTGCAGAGTTTCTTCCAGGCATCTCTTCGGGGGGGGGGGGGGGGGGGGGGGGGGGGGGGTAGGGATGGACACTGTTAAAAGTATATATTTTCTACATAAATTCATTTCGTTCGGGGGAGGGGGGGCGTTAGACTTCCGAGGGATGCCTGGAATCAGAGTTTCTTCCAAGCATCTCTTCGGGTGGGCTTCGCCCCCCCCCCCCCGAACTTAATGAAATTCATATTTTATATAGAAAATATATACTTTTAACATTGTCAGCCCCCCCCCCCCCCCCCGAAGAAAGTTTACCGCCCCCCCCCCCCCCGAAAATTTCAAGTGCCCCCCCCCCCCCCCCCGGAGAAAAAAGTCTGGAAGACACTGCCTGGAATAACCTCAGGTTAATAATCTTAATCTCCAGTAATATACAACCATTGAGCTCTCCATCGCCCCTCTCCCCCTCTGGAAGAAATATAATAATGTTTAATTTGCCTAGAAAGTATATACTTCAAGCAGTGTGCTCCTACCCCTCCCATTTTTTCCAATATTTTAAGTGCGCCCTTTCCCCCCACCCATCCCCCCCCCCCTCTTGTTCCTAAATTAACCCCTGGTCAAATGACAAGTTACAATGAGTGAAACCAACACTACGTCATCCACCTAGATGACAAACGTTGCTACACCCGAGGTTGAAGAAGTTTCGGTTTTCGTCTAGCAGTGAATGTGTAAGCCTTACGTATTGATCATCGATCTATCTCTTACTGAAACCTCTGCTTAAATATGTTATGTCATTTGTAACATCTGTTTTGTATTTCTTTTTAAGAGACTAACCATGTAACACTGAAGTGAAACGCAAAGAAAAAATGTATACCTCCATATGATAAAAACTGTTTTGATGTAATCATAATGCACGCACATTTGTAATACTTAAAATATATCTGTACACTAAAACATACATTTACACACATATTTATTCAAATTACACACAAACATACATAAATACATATGTATATTATGTTACATGGCCTACATAAATAGCCCTCGTGTATGTTTTCTTTGAATTAGAAAAGCATGCCCAATTTTGTTTTAATCTGCCTCTGATTTCAGTCTTAAAAAAGTGTAATCTGTTTTGAACCAGATATATGAACCAATTAAAATCCTGCTTGAAAGACTAGCCAGGTCCCCTCCTATGGAGTGGAAAGCACCTGATCAGGGACATGTTTCCCCCGCGCTAGATCCTCCAGGTAATTTTTCCCAGTCGACACGTATGGCAGCTCGGTGCTAATATTGTTGACGATATCGATTTCCCCGAGAATTTCGGGAAAACCCACGCTTGATCCTTCCTTTCCTGCTAAATGTTAATTAGTGTTGATCAACTTTTTACTGAAGAAAAATTATCGTTGTGCAATAGTTGGGTTGTATTTTCCCTATTTATTTTAAAACGTAACACGCACTATCCCGCCGCAAACACGCACTACTTATCGTTGGTTTCAGCATTGCTTTAATCAGTGGCGTATGCAGGGGGGGGGGGAGATTAGGGGGGGTCATAACCCCCCCCCCCATAGACCCCTCGGTATATAGAAAAAGTATGAGGGGGGTGCAAATCGAAAGTTTGAGGGGGGTGCAAATCGAAAGTTTGAGGGGGGGGGGGGTGTGCAAATCGAAAGTTTGAGGGGGTGGGGTGCAAATCGAAAGTTTGAGGGGGGGGATGCAAATCGAAAGTTTGTCCCCCTGGTAAAAATTGGACCCCCCCCCCCCTTGAGACGATCCTGGCTACGCCACTGGCTGTAATTAATGTTATTGATGCATTGATGATGTCCCCACCCTCTCCCCTCTATTAAGATTAGGTTATATATATTTAATTAATTGGCGTCAAATTAATATGATGAAATAACAAATTGAGTTTTATACGCCGAATCTCAATATTCATTACTCTAAGCTCGCTCTTAACACATGCATGAAATGCTCATATAAGTTTACGGATACATGGTTTATATAAAACTTTCCCTTTGATTCCATGGAATATCCCCTCAACCCTTCCCCAACATCCCCGCCCCCGCCGCCCCCACAAATGAGACCGAAACACTTAAGTAAGCTTGAACAGAAACCACCAAATCAAGCTCCCTCATATTTTTCCTGTCCCTGTCTCGGCTATTTTTAGCTATGATTATTATGTAAATCGTGATAGGAAGTAAATACTCAGCTGTCTGATAAAGCTATAGCTGTTTACAGTTAATACTTTATTATACCTAAATACCCTAGACCACGGGTTCCCAACCTGGGGGTCGCGACCCCCCTGGGGGTCGCGAAGGCCTTTCTGGGGGGTCGCCAACTGGTATACTAAACCTTAGTAATGAGAAACAAAACATAAATATTTAGAAGAATATCTGAAATTCGGCTTTACTAACATCACTGGAAATGGAATAGGGAAGAGGCCATGCGTACTGTACAAAGTTGTTCTCAGTCACGAGTTTATGAAATCTCCAAAACTTAAAAGTCATTTGAGACGAGTCATTCGAAACACACCAAAAAAGATATATAGGTCTTTCGTCTGCATGAAGCTAGTTGCAAACGTCAGATACTTGATCGAACAGGAAGTTTTCACCAAGGAAACACAGCATTAGTGCAAGCATCAAACAGAGTCGCGATAGAAATTGCCAAGCAAAAAAAAAAAGCACAATAGGAGAAAATCTCATCAAATGCTGC